ACACTACACTATACACTACACTACTATACACTACACTACTATACACTATACTACTATACACTATACTACTACACTACTATACACTACACTACTATACACTACACTACTATACACTACAACACTATACACTACACTATACACTACACTATACACTACACTACTATACACTACACTACTATACACTACACTACTATACACTATACACTAGTGCTGTACTAGTGACGAATTGGCACGTTCTGTTTACGTGACAACCCTTACTAGCTGGCTGTGTCGGGTGGTGGCGGGTTTAACGACACATTTATATATAGATGCGATCGAACTCAAAAACCTCTATTATGGATGATATTGGTCGCGAAAGCCTATGTGTTCAAATGTAACGTGTACTCAGCCCTCATTGTATTTGTACAATTGGCAAAACTGAGACTATGGTCGTCTGTGTGGGTAGTGGTTTGCACACGTGTGCACTTTGCGCAGGGACACGGTGTGAATTTTTAAATGCCTGGCTTTGCTTTTTATTTTACCTCTTTTTTCAAACTGTGCTGTTTTGAAAATAGTTTTGCTTTGACTTTTTTGGGGCTACAGATAAGGAGCAGACTCCAGTTTCTTCTTCCCCGTGACCTTGAGGTGACACGGTTGGGGATTTTTGTACAAAATTTTACAGACGCTTATAGAAAAGTAAAAAAATACAACCTATTCAGGGTTATTAGGGAAACACCCAATGTGTTCACTGCATGTTATACACCTTTAGACCCGTCATTACCTTTACAGGAATGTGTATAGAATTGAAAGCACAACGTATAGACGAGAAGACAACATCCATCCTAATAGCTGCATTTGTAAAAGTACACTGATGTCTGTCGTAAAGTTGTATGGCCGCTGACATAAAGAATAAATATTGACGTTAAAGAAAACCATGAATACTAATGCATTGATTCTAATTGTGTAAAATGATATGCGTATAACTTATGTACTGTATCGTTACAATCAGTGCATTAATGTGTGATAGCTATCGGAACGATCGCACGTAGCTTACTGTCACCTCTTACCAGTGCCTACAAATGTGTATTGTTGATGTCTTGGTCACAATGGATGCAAGCAAGGCAGTCCAAGTTGCCTTAAGCCTGTTCCAATCATATCTCGACAATACGAGATCACTGGTTCCTCTTTCAGTACGCTGCACCAAGGTCACTTCTCCAAAGCAAATTCAGTTTGCAAACCCACTCGAAAAGAACCTGTGCAAAATAATTATCTTGTTTAAGTAGACATGGCATCACTTCCATATCAGTATCGAATCTTTTTAAACCAAGTAATGATTTTGGAAATGTATTAATCATAATCGCACAAGATGAAATGTCCACGTAACAAGAGTATACAGCACATGTACACGTAACAACCCTCTGTTATAGTAATAGGTTTTTACCCTTTCAACTGGTACAAAAAACTGACACCTTTATACAAGGCATCATGTTTGCAATAACCACAACACAAGCAGTCAAAATGCAAACAAAAAGAAACAACTCTGATAATGATATGCACTGTCCTTGAAGTTGATTAGTCCACACAGCTTTTCTTAGAGCCTAGTCTCCATTGGTGTTGGACCAGATGACGCCAAAATGCCTACTAACCCTCTGTTAATCCACTGCTGGATGAAGGCCACACCATGTCTTAGAGGTCACGGGGGTTATTTGACCATATTTCATCATACCGGTCAGTGTGGGTTGGTGATGGTGGGGAGCATAGACGTGGGAGGATATACAGTACAACTATGGATGCAATGCATTTTTAAATCCTTTATATTAAGTTCACTTGCTTGCTTGCGCGCTTACGACCGTGCAAATCTTTCGGTCGTTTTTTAACCCACTTCCCGTGATCCAATTGAGCTGACATTTTGCACACAGACTCGTTGTGCGTGACAATTTATTTTCGTGAATTTTTTTTCTCCAAATTTTACACTTTTTAGGAATTTTTTTTAAATATTTAATTACCAATTGCTTAATGGTGGCAGGCAATCATCTGACCCATAGGTGGCAGCCATCTCAAGCCAGAGGACGAGAGGACTCTAACCGCCCGTTTCAAAGACCAATGTGGGCTGGGTTGTGGCCCATTGAACACGTACTGTAATTTATTGTCAATCATACAAAGACTGAAAACCTTATAACGACTTTCCTTATATTTAATTTAAAATACCAATGTGATAAAAATGAAACTCTTACTCAAGAAAAACAGAAATGAATAATAAAATAAAACCGATGCCACGCATATAAATGATTTATAGTGAAAAACTTTGTTTTTACGGGTTAATTTTTTCTGTCCTGTTCTTCGCTGACAACACAGCCGTTCAAAATTCGCAACTGCAGGTGAGCGCATGCATGGAAGTATTAATTTGTGTCCTTTCAAAGTAAATGGTTAACAGTTTTTATAAATGAACTTGGAACTTTGTGCCTGTCCGACACGGGGTATAGTAAACACTGTGTGTTACTCACAAGCTAAAGTTGTGCGGAGATAAAAAAAAAACATTTTCGGTTTCATTTCCCATTTTTGAGTGAAGGTATTTCAACTGAAAGCGATCCTTGAGCCGTGCACTCAAAACCCCCGACAAGACGTTTGCGCCAATAAAATATGTGGGGCTGTTTGCGAAGCAACTTACATTGAGACCAACATACAACCCATGGGTCAAATTGGAACGGGAAAATACACAGTTTGGCCTGATGAAGCTGGCTGTAATCAGCAGCGAAACGTCGTACACGAATTGTAAACGTTGTGGGTTTACTCTCCAACACACAAAAACCGGTGTGCACTGGAGTCGTAACTAATTGGCAATGTTTTGTTGGCGTGACAAACCCTTGCTCGCTGACCGTGTCGGGTTGTGGTGACGGGTTTGACGACACATTTATATTTACGCAATCTAACCCTAAATGTTTAGCGTACTTCCTGACATGCAACACACTTGAAACTTGCCATGTGGGTACTTTCCAGACTGTACACCATGCAAAAATTATAAAAATCGACTTTTGTATTTTTTTGGGGGGGGGGGGGGGGGAGGCGCAATAATGTATATACTTTGCAAGGCCAGTGAGCTGTAACGTCACATCTGCCGTGTGACCCGTGTGCTGATCGCGGGTAAAGTGAAATACAACAAATGTGTTGCAGGTCTAATGCGTTCTTCGCGCAGCATTGCTGCTTTATACTGGTAGGAACCTGGTTACACCAGCCCACAGGGGATTATTGTGTCCGTCCGTCGTGCATCCAAAAATGGGAGCGGTGGGGCTGGGTGGAGAGGGGAGGGTGGGGAGGGGCTGGGTGGAGTGGGGAGGGGCTGGGTGGGAGGTGAGAGGAGTGGGGCTGGGTGGGGTGGGGCTGGGTGGGGGTGGAAGGGGTGGGGCTGGGTGGGGAGGGGCTGGGTGGGAGGTGAGAGGGGTGGGGCTGGGTGGGGTGGGGCTGGGTGGGGGGTGGGAGGGGTGGGGCTGGGTGGGGAGGGGCTGGGTGGGGGTGGGAGGGGTGGGGCTGGGTGGGGAGGGGCTGGGTGGGGAGGGTGGGGAGGGGCTGGGTGGGGAGGGGCTGGGTGGGGGGTGGGAGGGGTGGGGCTGGGTGGGGAGGGGCTGGTCACCCCGTGGTGCCCTTATAAAACTCAACGTTTACGAACCCGGCGACCCGAGTTTGATTCCCGCTCACGGCCACCACCGGTGACGATTATTTGAACCGGTCCTGGGCCTCCCCTAGGTCGACTCGGCCTCAAACGAGTAACTGGTGTGGTGTGTGAACATCGCCACTGGGGAGACAAAGGCGGCCGGGCGTGGTGAATCCAAGTCCCGGGCGAAGCCGGGTAGTCAAGCAAGTGGATGATATGTGGCAATGCGATCTCGTGCGCCGGTGTGTTGATCTAAAGTAGATTTCTCGCGATAAAAGTGGAGGCCTGGTCCACAGCGCATGCGTCCACAAGTGGCAGGTTTTCTGCATTTGGCTTTTATTTTAACGATAACTATTTTAGCGATAACCATTTACGCGATCCAACCCTCCAAAACAACTCCCCACCCTGACTGATGGCTCAAACGTGATGTTGACGGAACTAATTTACGCGGAACCAAAAAAAGCCACCACCACCCCTCCCCTTGCAGCGCAGCGTTTCCAGTGAGAGTGGGCGGGGAGGGGGGAACTTTTACCCGTCTGCACACCGATTACATTTGCCACAACGGACAAGCGCGGCGCGCTCTCGCTCGCTCGCCACGCGCCTCAACCGATTGGTCACCTTTATCGGTCACGTGACGGGCGCCAACCAATTAGAGGCGCGGCGCTGAGCAAATCACGGTGGGGGGAGGGGGGGTGGTGGGGGGAGGGGGGGTAGTGGGGGGTGGGGGGTAGTGGGGGGTGGGGGGGTAGTGGTGGGTGGGGGCAAGGGGCTAGTGGTGGGTGGGGGCTGGGGGGTAGTGGGGGGTGGGGGCTGGGGGGTCGTGGTGGGTGGGGGCTGGGGGTAGTGGTGGGGGGTAGTGGTGGGTGGGGGCTGGGGGGTAGTGGTGGGGGGTATTGGGGGGTGGGGGCTGGGGGGTAGTGGGGGGTGGGGGCTGGGGGGTAGTGGGGGGTGGGGGCTGGGGGGTAGTGGGGGGTGGGGGCTGGGGGGTAGTGGGGGGTGGGGGCTGGGGGGTAGTGGGGGGTGGGGGCTGGGGGGTAGTGGTGGGGGGTAGTGGTGGGTGGGGGCTGGGGGGTAGTGGTGGGGGGTAGTGGGGGGTGGGGGCTGGGGGGTAGTGGGGGGTGGGGGCTGGGGGGTAGTGGGGGGTGGGGGCTGGGGGGTAGTGGGGGGTGGGGGCTGGGGGGTAGTGGGGGGGTGGGGGCTAGTGGTGGGTGGGGGCTAGTGGTGGGTGGGGGCTAGTGGTGGGTGGGGGCTAGTGGTGGGTGGGGGCTAGTGGTGGGTGGGGGCTAGTGGTGGGTGGGGGCTAGTGGTGGGTGGGGGCTGGGGGGTAGTGGGGGGTGGGGGCTGGGGGCTGGGGGGGAGGTGGTTCCGCGACCCGCCTATGTGCTGTATGGATTTCGAGGCCACGTGGTGTGCCCCCAACGCGAACGCGAAGAAGCGGTGGCCATGGCCGACTTGGACCTCGTCGCGACGATCGAGGACGATGACGAAGTGAGAGTCGCCTCGGAGGAGAGCGACTCTGGCGACGACGAGGTGCGTGTGACGAGGGGGGCAGGCAGACTGCGGTCATCTCCAACCTGCGGCGGGCGGCGGGAGAGCTCGCGGCTCGGCAAGGCCCGTGGTGGATGCACGTGGTGGGGAGTTTAAACACGTGGCGGTGGTGGCGGCGGTGGCGGTGGTGGTTTGTCTAGCTGGTGTTACACTAAAACTAAACTATTTAAAACAATCATTTTATCAGCTAAAGCGCCGCTGAGCTACCGTAGATTATGTTTCGGCTATCGCAAGTGGTAGCGCTCAACGGAGGTGGTCTTATCGTTGTGTGGGTATATAAAGCAGCGCCAAATACTCTAAAACACCCCGTGATGTTCAGTCTAAATGTGGAGGGGGAACTAAAACCGGGCGACCCGGAGAATAATCCACACGACCGCGGAGAGAGACAGAGAGAGAGAAAAAAAATACAAGCTTCAAATATACTTGCATCAGGGTCGAGATAGATACCCACGACCTCCTGTACTACCAGGCGAGGTAGTTAACGTCTAATAGCCATTAGTTGAGTTAGTGTGTTTGTTATACTGTACGAGTTACTTAGTTTTAATGCGGTAACGTCTAGCAGTGGATAGACCACGACTGGGTTGGCGTGGGCCTACGGACGGCGCAATTGAGTGGATTTCTCCCAGCGTTCTCGTGTGTATGCCGATCCTGTTGGAGAAAAAAACTAACGGAGTTTCACTTTGCATAGCGCCTAAATACAACCGCATATTGTTACCTTATCAACACACACACACACACTGCACAAACGTACATATAAAGATCCCCCGTGTAGCCTTGACATACTGTAGGGGCAAGTGCTGTTAGCGAGTAGCACCTATGAAGGCCGGAACGGCACACGAGGGGGTGGGTGGCCAGCACCACGCCCGACCGCCTTTGTCTCTCCAGTGGCGATGTTTACACACCGCACCAGGTACTCTTTTGAGGCTGAGTCGACCTAGGGGAGGCCCAGGACCGGTTCAGATAATCGTCACTGGTGTTAGCTACACTACATATAACATACACACAAGTGCTTGGCTTCTTCATGACCTACTGCTTGCTACTGCAAGGCCTCTGAAACGTGGACACGTGTCCACATGATTAGTGTTAAAGCTGGCAATGTTCACTTATTGAAAATGGTCAAATCTAGAATGAAAATGGTCTCGTTTGAGCGGATCAGTAATATGCATCATGGTAATCAAAAATAATGTTCAGGTAAGCGACCGATAATTGATGCTGCGTTAGTTGAGGATATAGGGCAAAGTAAAGTTGGGAGTCCGTCACGAGATGATTCGTTGCATCGTCGTTTGAGTGTCGGACGTAATTTGTCATCTTAAACGCATTGTCCTGCGGAGGGAGCTGGTAGGAACGTTGGGTTGCTCGGTCAATGGCCTGCAGGGTCAACGGCGGCGTGGTGTATTCCGCAAATATGCCCGACTGTGAGGGCGGGCACAAGCCGGCGTGAGTAGGTTAAACGTTGAGTTTTATAAGGGCACCACGGGGTGACCAGCCCCACCCCTCCCCACCCAGCCCCACCCCTCCCCACCCAGCCCCACCCCTCCCCACCCAGCCCCACCCCTCCCCACCCAGCCCCACCCCTCCCCTACCCAGCCCCACCCCTCCCACCCAGCCCCTCCCTGCACGACGGACACAATAATCCCCTGTGGGCTTGTGTAACCAGGAGGTTCCTACCAGTATTACTCTGCGTTATATCGTCGCTACTGGCCTTACGTAGGCCTCTCCACACCACGCCGATCAAAGGGGTCCATACTTCACCACGCTGGTCATTGCCGGTTTGAGGGGTGTAGGATCGGCTCGGATATAATTATCACTCGACAGCCGTGGCCTGGAATGTAACGAGCGCTCAAAGAACTGCACAGACGAATTCACGAATCCGTTTTGCTTCACAGCCATCTCGCGGCCAATTCGCAGCCCTGCAGGTTTCGGAGTTTCACGAATCTCAGTGATATACAGCAAATAAATGTTCTAATTACTCGTTTTGGGGTTTTTCTACAATCTATTTCCCCAAATTCTTATCATAGTACCTTGCTTAATTCAAGGAATGCATTAACTCTTCAACTTATTGCGCAACTTAAATTCCTCTGGCATTCTGCCCCTTTGGGGCCTGTGCTCAGCAACCGCAATGAAGCAAAATCAAAATAAAAACAAAATCGAATCCGCAGCCTCCAAAGTGATGGGATGGCGAGCATGCGCCACCTGCATCACACATCACGTCGTTTTTGCATGACCGCGTGAAGCACCTCCCTTGTCTTTTTTTGCAAGCGCGCATCGAATGCTGCAATGCTGTCTTGTCATGCCCTGTCACCTTCTTCGCCCGGCCAGGATGGGACCGTCGTGAAGAAGAAAAAGAAGAAGGCCCAGCCGGTGGTGCGTGGCCGCTGTGCCGACTTCAGCGATGACTTCGCGTTCATGGAGCGCGACGGGGAGATCGCCATTGACTGGGAGCGGGACATCATGCTGATGGCCAAGAAGAAGGTGAGTTCTAGATTTTAAGTTTTCATGACTGCAAGGATCCATACTCTTTGGTTGTTTCGGTAAAGTCACGTAGGTGAAAATGAAATAAAAATAAAACGACTAAATTGATTGAATAAATTAAAACAACTATTAAATCAATTTAGTTTTATTTCTATTTTATTTTGTTTTCACCTACATGACTTTACCGAAAAAACCAAAGAGTAAAGAAGGTGAGCATTTTTCACAGCCTCGGGTGTTACGTTGTGAGTGAATGCAAGCGGTAGCGATGTGCAATATCATCCACCATGCCCTTTCGCACTGCTGAGTGAATTCCTCCAAAGCCGGGTGCCATCTCTCACGGTCTTGAAGGCAACGATCCATTCAGAAACTGCACTCGAGTTAAGTTCATTCCTCCACCTCCACGCTGGTCGTATCAGGCGTCGTTTTTACGAGTCTCGACCACCAGCAGTCATCTCTTCTCGCGTTGTGTGTGGCCTTTTATGCTCAATCCCACAAGTCAATGTGATGTGTGATTCATATTTGCTCTTTAATCAGTTCCTCATCTTGTCTCGAGGTGTGATTCCAACCAAGCATGCAATTATCAATGTTTATTTCCATACCTTTTAGCTTTGGTTTAATTTTATTTATAAATTACCGTGTTTCTGATTCTATGTTACAGCAAAGAATATACACTGTAAAAATTTTCTTTAAGAAAAACACTATACAGTTGAATAAAAAAACATTTCCTCACATTTTTCTTTTTTTTTTTCGTTTGTCGATTGCAACGAGTCTCTTGATGTTTATTTTACGAATAATTTCAGTTGTACTGCAACAAATTTCCATTGGGAATGTTGGCAGCTTGTAGCACACCAGCATTTTGTCAAGAGAATGGGCTGCTAACAATGACGTTACAGAACTACTTCTGATGCTACGTCAGTAGTCGTCTTTATTGTCGTGAAAATTGTTTTATCAGTTTTTCCTGAATATATTTGGATTGTTTTGTGATATGCGTGTCTGTTACAGCGTCATGCAACCACGCTGGATGAGAAGATTGCGGAAGTGAGGCGCAAGAGAAAGAAAGCGGTAAGCTCATTAAATGGTATTCACAATAGCAACGAAGTCTACTCAAATGTGATGTTCTTTAATGGACTGATTGTTTTTTTATATTTGCAATTTTAATTTGCAGTGTTATTACAATTGATTTAACATGATCATCTTGCAATGTTATGGCAAAGGTAAATTACTGCGCTCTGTAATTGGATTTTTTTTACGTTGAAGTAATAATACTGGGTGAAAAAATCTTAATGTATGATTGTCTTCAGGATACCTCCGAAAACGACGACAAAGGGAAGGAAGATGAAGATGAAGGCAAAGAGGATGGAGCAAAGGATGTGGAGAACGGAGAGAATGAAGCAGAAAGCAGCGAAGAGGGTGACGATGAGAGTGACAATGAAGCGACGGGATCCTCATCGGACGATGACGTTCAGAAATCCGGTGGGTGTTTTAAAAAAAATAAGACTCGCCGGCTTAGGATTATTTTTTACATCATTGCTGAGCAGAGGGCCAAAATGTTGCGTGGCCAGCAACTAACAGCACGAGCAAAGTTGTAATACGTAACGGTTAACACGTTCTTTGAGCAAGTTTATTTTGTTGAACCACGTGAGAATTCAAGAGACCAGAATAGTCTACGTTGCAAAAGCGACCTGGGGCATTCGTACAATTGGCTGAGTATGGTGCAAAAGAAGTTCAATCTAAATGGTTATAATTCCAATTGAGTAATGTGTAGATAAATTTCGAAATTGACAAATTTGGACCATGATGCCAGCAGCACGCAATGACTTACGCTTGCAAATGACATAAGGGGATCTATAATATCCACTGTGAATCAGATGATGGGAGCGAGTTACTGAATTCTAATGTCGGTTGGTGGTTCATGTGTAGTGATTTGCGAGACTGCCCAAGCAGCTTGGCTGATAGGTGGCTGGGAGAGGCTCATTCTTGAATACTGTGATGAGAAAAACCGATGTTGAAATACCTTAATTGCTCTCGTGTTTACTCTTTTAGACGTTTTAAAGGAAAAGGTGAAAAAGAAAAAGAAGCTTAAAGGCGTAAGTATATCCATAGCACGTTGTGCGTGCATTGCACTTAATTACAGCGTATATAATGTGATCACACACTACAGGTAACTCGGTTATTTTTGGATGGATTATCTACATTGTGGATAAACTATGCTCACGTTGGCAAGTAAACGAGTTAAGAAACAAAAACAATGACAAATTCTACATCTTAAGGAAAACACTAAATTCGTTTTCTTATCCTAATTTACATGTGTTTAGCATTATTCGTGTATTATCTGGTGCACCCATCCCACTATTACCCCAGATAATTGAGTTGACTACATTTTTATTAATATATTCTCTACAAATTATGAAATAAAAAACTGAACGTTTTTTTAATCGGTTGTTTTACGTGACGTACATAACAAGCAAACCTTTAACCCGAGTTCTGGATCTCTTCAGGTCAGCGTGACAGCCATAATGACGCAAACTTACATAAACGCACACCGAGTTTGTACGAATGCAATTTTATTAACCGCACACGGACCCCTTCCGTTTGGTAGTTTGCCATCTGACCTAGTTTTACGTTTCAGTCTCGCACCCTCACTGTGCACAAAAGGGAATGACAGCGACGAAGAGACGCGCTCCAATGTGGTTCACGTCATGCAATCTGCGCGCTTGGGTTGAGCTGATTTTTTTTTCCTTGTTGCGCCCTGGCAGGAAGAGAAGCCTTTCTTCGAAGATGCGCCTTTCGTTGATAAAAACATCACCTTCCCGGACATGAACCTCTCTCGGCCTCTTCTTAAGGTGCTTGTCACTTGCACGCTGCTGCATTTCAATCTCACATCCACGCGTACAATATTTGTTTTATGTCAGAGGCACCTCCGCACGCTGAGCCGTGACAACACACATGGGGCTACAGGCATGCTGTTTTGTCTTTGTTGCCGGTGTTTAATTAATCCTTATGGGTGTATAATTGTCAATTTCACGTGTCAAGACAAAAATCAAGTTCCTTGTCTAGCCATACAGACTATTGGCGCATTGCTGCTAGCGATCACCTATTAAGGCCGGCATGTCACATGCACCACACTCGACCACCTTTGTCTCCCCGGTGCTGAGATTTTACACACTACGCTAGTTTTTCAATGCAGGCCGAGTCGACGTGGAGAAAGCCCAGGATACGTTTTTGATCTGACTCGGTATTGATGCTGGCCATGTTTGGCAGTCGAACTTGGGGTCACGGGCTCTGGAGAGCAGAGTGGGAACCACTGCACCACCTCTCCCTACAAAACGCCCACGTTCAACTGCGTTTGTCTCGCACCTCTGTGCGTGTGTGTGCGTGTCGTAGGCGATATCCAGCATGGGGTTCCTGCAGCCGACACCCATCCAGAAGTCCTGTATCCCCGTGGGGCTCCTGGGCAAAGACATCTGTGCCTGCGCTGCAACAGGCACCGGTACGCGCGGGCGAGCTGTCTCGCACCCTGGGGAAATCGAGCGTTGCGAACATTCTAATTGTTGTTTTGTTGAGCGTGTTTTTGGGATGCGTCATTGTTGTCGGCAGAGGACAGTGTAGCCTGATCTATTGTTGCGTTGTACTGTTCTCCGAACATCAGTGCTCCTCCATCTTCGCCAAACTGCACGGCTCATCGTGGTGAAGTACGGTCAAATAACGCCCATGACCCACATGGCGCGGGAAGGCCGTCATCGTGCAGTCAATTGACAAAGCGGCCGTTGGTCATTATTATAATAAAAATAATTCGTTTTAGTTTGTTGTCCTTCCCCCCCACCACCTATTTAGCATGCTTGGCTACCTACCGTGCAAAAGTAGTTCAACGTACATTATATTATTGGCCTGATATTTTTGACATGAATATGTGTGTTTGGAACATGTCTGCATTCTCGGATACTGCTTACACAACAACAACAACCGCTATTCGCCACTAAGTGGCGGTGACATCACCACGACGCTTGTGCCAGGCCATGTGCACCTTGAGGCCACGTGAAGTGTCGAACGCCCGCTTAAACACCCATCCACACATACGCACGCACAGGTACGTGTATAATGCCTCCGCCAATTCGCTCGCTTTCTCTCCTGCCTCCCCTGCCCAACACGGACCGCGCGCAGGCAAGACGGCGGCGTTCATGTTGCCGGTGCTGGAGCGGCTCGTGTACAAGCCGCGGCAGGCCCCCGTGACGCGAGTGCTCGTGCTGGTGCCGACCAGGGAGCTCGGCATCCAGGTGCACTCGGTCACGCGCCAGCTCTCGCAGTTCTGCAACTGTGCAGACCTCGCTCGCCGTGGGTGCGTGACCTCACACGACGGGGGGCCAGGAAACTCTTCCTTCCTTTCCGAGCACCGATTGTGACCTTTCAAATAACTTTGTGGTGGCCCGCGCATTATTAGCGCGCGTGCTTTGGAAGTGTGTTGATGGCTATAACCATGGAACAAAGACGGTCGCTGCATCGATCGCTTTCCGATGCGCTTCTACGGCAGTCTGTAACGTTCTTCCTTTCGATATTAGGAAGCCACTGGAGCTATGCACTTTTAAATCTGGATTGAAAACTCATTTCTTTTAGAACTGATTTTCCTTGTTTAGTTGGTTGCCCTTCGCCTGCACCTCTGATTAGCAAGGTTGACTACGTACGGTGCCACAAAGGTTTAACATGCATACGTTGAGAAGCGACAAAGATGATGACATTAGAAGGGCTGTGGACAATGCTACTGGCTTCTACTGCCATGCTGGGAGATCGGATTGAACTGGCGACCTCTGGATTGCAAGTGCAGTGTGCTGCTGACAATTACACCATGGCAATATACTTTATTTAAAAACCTTTAGCCCAGGGGTGTGGAACATTTTCCTTGTGTGAGGGCTCGAGCAGGACTTTACAACACCTTTGGAGTACGACAGATCAACACGCGCACCTTAGCGTTTTCCGATAATAATGCAAAAAAAATAATGTGCGTGTCGACCTGAGTGTAAGCATGAGCTTGCAGCGACCTCAGTGGCTAAACACGCTAAAAGTTGTAACGGTGTTGCCAGGTTGAATATAGCCCCCCCACCCCCCCCCCCCCAGGAGCTGATTAGTGTGGCTGTGATTCTTACACTGGCAGAAAAATGTAATGTATGGGCATCCTTTAGAAGTGGTAGCTGTGTGCCCGCATGCTGTGTGAAGTGAAGTCCTGGGAAATAAGTTTCCCACCACTGCCCTAATGTGTGTGTGTATACCGGTACGTGCGTCGTCTTCTGTGAATGAGACCGAGAAGGTGTGTATGCATGCATCTCGTGCGTGCATGAGGCTGACTGTGTGTGTGGGCAGTGGAGCGGTTAGCGCACTGTGCTACAAACCTGGCGACCCAAATTCAATTCCCACTCACGGAAAACATCGGTGACGAATTATCTGAACCATTCCTAGGGCGACTTGGCCTCAAATGAGTACCTTGTGCAGTGTAAACATCGCCACTGGGGAGACAAAGGCGGCCGGGCGTGGTGCTGGCCAACCACTCCCTCGTGTACCGTTCCGGCCTTCTTAGGTGCTCGCTAACAGCACTTGCCCCAGCAGTTTTTTTGTGTGTGTGTACGTGTGGTTCTCTTGTTCGCGGTTTTCTCGTCCCCGTGACTCTGCTCTCTTTTCCCCGGTGCCGTCGGCGGGGGCAGCTGTTGTTGCGATGGCCACGTGTGACTCGTGCGAATTTGCGATCAATCCCCCCCCCCCTGCACTGCACGCAGGCGGCCTGGACATCAAGACGCAGGAGGCGGCGCTGCGTGCAGGCCCCGACATCCTCATCGCTACACCGGGCCGACTCATTGACCATCTGCAAAACTGCCCATCCTTTGATCTGAGCAGCATCGAGATTCTCATCCTGGACGAGGCTGACCGGTATTGTCGCTTAAATTACACACAGTTGCAATTGGCCCCAGTTTTGCAGTGCCACGGCCTTCGCGTCGTTGGGGATTGCAGTCATGGACACCGTTTTGCGTGTCCAGCCCACACCCCGGTGTAATCGCGAGATGTTCTCGCCCCCTTTGCGCAGGATGCTGGACGAGTACTTCGAAGAGCAGATGAAGGAGATCATCCGGCAGTGTTCGCACCAGCGGCAGACGATGCTCTTCTCTGCGACAATGACCGATCAGGTGGGGAGCAGGTGGTGCTGCTTTTGTTGTTGTTGCAAGTAAATGGGTCTATGTGTGGGGTCGGTGGTATTATTGCAGGGGTTTATTTTTTTTAATGTGGGGTCTTTTCGTCCCCAAATTTTTATTCCAAGTGCTCAATCGGTGCCATGTGTTGAGATGATGAAAGTTATATTTTTTCTGAATATTCACGTTGAAGCAGTGTAACATTACGCCTTGTCCGAGAACAACTTTTAGAACATGGTGTCAGAAAAGTGCCTCTGAAATCCCATCTTATGCCACACCAGGTGGTGCACCATTTTTTTAATAGCCTGCATTAGTTTTGGGGATGGTTGCAATTGTAATTGTGTAATACATAATGAATTGCAACCACATTGTAATTATAATTTGCTGGCTTAATGCTGCCTTAATTGTAATTAGAATTGCTTTGCAAAGAGTGGCAATTGCCTTGCAATCAACCTGAGAATACCGGAATATCCGACATTAAGCAAAATGCTCTCATTTTTGCGTTCAACCGTTGGCGGCCAGGTTGAGACTTCATCGACCGGTTACAATTCACAACCCGGTTTAATCACGGATAAAACACAAAGATACCCGTATAGCCTTCATAGGGCTGTTGGGGCAAGTGCTGTTAGCGAACACCTATGAAAGCTGGCACAGCACACGACAGGGCGGCGGGTGGCCAGCACCGCGCCCGACCGCCTTTGTCTCCCTAGTGGCAATGTTTCACATCGCATTGGGTACTCATTTGAGGCTGAGTCGACTTAGGGGAGGCCCAGGACCGTTTCAGATAATCCTCACCGGTGTTGGCCGTGAGCAGGAATCCAGCTCGGGTCGCTGAGTTCGTAGCGCAGCGCGCTAACCGCTGCACTACCGCTACACTAACGCTACACTACCGCTGCACGGATCGCACCTGGATCCACATCCAGGGTCTCGGCAGTGCCGACTCCATTGCTGCCCTGACTCACCTCGGCCACCCGGCCGGCCACCGTCGCGGCATCTTCACGATCGGCGTCGTTCTCGTAGAACGGGCGATCGCATGCCGGCGTCGGGGTCAAAATTACTTTGCAAATGACTCGATTGGGATTCTACAGCAATCGCCGCCCCCTACTGACAGACTAATGGTCGCAGGTCACTCTTTTCAAATGAAGCTATCCTTGGTCTGTGGAGTTTTCACACGGCTGAACAAGATACACTTGAAGTTTGCAACTCTACGACCTGGCAACTCCGCCGTGCCACCTCGGCGGTGCCACACGGCGTCGGTACTCGTCCCTCGGCCGCCCGGCCCACCGTAACGACAACTTTTTTGACGATCTGCGTCGTTTGTCTCTCTCTCTCTCCGACCCGGCGTCTCGGCGAGCCAGGTGCAGGACCTTGCGGCGGTGTCGCTGAAGCACCCGGTGAAGATCTTCGTGAACAGCAACACGGACGTGGCCCCGTACCTGCGGCAGGAGTTTGTGCGAATCCGCCCCAACCGGGAGGGAGACCGCGAGGGCATCGTGTCAGGTGCCACTCAATGCTCGCTGATTTACAGGCGCCGCCGACGGCTCGGTCCGTTGCTGCCGCCCGGCCTGGAGCCACGCGGTGGGCTCTGTGGTCTTGTGCGTGTAACTCAACATTTGGAACGTCGTGACTGTAGAGCTGGGTTATATCTGATGGAGCGAGACAACGACTACCGGTCCTCGGTTAGATTCCATCGACTAATTGTAAATTAAAATGGATGGGAGGGGTGATCACAGCGGTGGCTGGTGTTGTGTGTGTTGGGTGTTGTCCGCTTGCAGCGCTGCTGACTCGCACCTTCCAGGACCACGTGATGGTGTTCACGCAGACCAAGAAGCAGGCGCACCGCCTGCACATCCTGCTGGGGCTGCTGGGGCTGCGCGTGGGCGAGCTCCACGGAAACCTGTCCCAGACACAGCGACTGGAGGCCTTGCGGTGCGAACGCGCGTACACGATGCGTGCGCGGGCGTGCTCACGACGACCCCCGAATAGCCCTTAACAGACTGTTCGGGTACGGGTGCTGTTAGCGGGCACCTGTTAAGGCCAGTACGGCACACGAGAGGGTTCGGTGGTCAGCAGCACGCATTTTGTCTCCCCAATGCTGATGTTTATACACAGTACCATGTACTCATTTAAGGCCGAGTTGACCTAGAGGAGGACCAGGATCGGTTCAGAATTTCGGTACTGGTGTTGGCCGTGAGCAGGAATCGTACTCGGGTCGCACGGCGCGCTACCCACTGCAGCATCGCTGCACCCCCTGTCCTTTTTCAAAAACACAAACACGATAGAAATGTCTCGCAATTGAGCAATGGATGTGCAACGATTACGTTCCCCTTGCGGTCCGATGAATTGTCTGGAATCGGGGAGGGTTCCGATTCGATTTAAAGAATTGGGTTTTGTTGCTGTTCCGGTGAATGCAACTTTTCTTGCGGTTTACAGAGTTCAAGTGAGCTCATTACGCACAGCGTAAACATTTATTTGAAATAGACTCCGTGCAGAGTTCGACATGTACATTGTGCGGGTTTAACCTTCGTTTTTTTTTTATGAAATGGCACAATTTTACGCCGACTGGGTTGACAGACAGGTTCAGTCTTGGCTTCAAGACCTGGGGTCGATTACAGATGTAATTGTGTAGTTCGTAATGAATTGCAATCTCTATTTCTTGTTATTTGTAATTGCAGTTTATCTCATTTATAATTTACCCCCAGGTCTTTTAGCTCCACAATCCCATCTCGTGCCTCTCACCACCACCATTATAAGTTATCAGTACTAAGGATAAGAATTTGAATTTATAGGGCACTTAAATTCAAAGTGCCTTGCCATCTCATCTAGACCATTTCATTGCCATGCTACGGCCTAGCCAAGGGGACTCCCAGTGGTGGCTTATCCCGATGCTGCTCAAGGTGTTTAGAAACGTGCGTTTAAAGTATTTGCCTGCTATGCATTTCCACATGATAAGCTGCTTCGTTGGGCTATCTTTTGTGGACTGGTCGCTTCTGAAACACATTCCTGCGGAGGGAGCTGGTAGGAACGTTGGGTTGCTCGCTCAATGGCCAGGGTCAACGGCGGCGTGGTGTATTCCGCAAATATGGCCAACTGAGGGCGGGCACAAGCCGGCGTGAATAGGTTAAACGTTGAGTTTTATAATGGCACCACGGGGTGACCAGCCCCTCCCCACCCAGCCCAACCTCTCTCACCCCCCACCCAGCCCCACCCTCCCCACCCAGTCCCTCCCTTCCCCACTCAGCCCCTCCCCACCCTCCCCTCTCAGCACTGGCCTGCAAAATGTTGTTTCTCTTCTAGTAGGGTGCGATGTCTTATCATTGTTCAAGATGAAAGTGGAATGTCTGTCGTTACTGTTGCTCTGCGCAGGAGGTTTAAGGATGATCAGATTGACATTCTGGTGGCAACGGACGTGGCGGCACGAGGTCTGGACATCGAGGGTGTCAAAACCGTACGTAGTCCTCGGTGTAAATCTTGCACGCTCGGCGATCCCGCTCGGCGATGAACGGCGGCACCTTGTAGCCATAGGGCCTCGTTTCATTGACTTGGCTCTTTTCGCTGGCATAGATCACCATCGTCATTGGCCTTGATCTCTCAACGACGGCAAGAAGGCTTCTCACAAGTTGTTGCCGTCTTTCATTTCTTGTGATGTAAAAAAATCATCTAGGGCCTACTATACTTCATCTCCGCAGCAGACAATTTCTCCAGCGTGTAACCTCTTTATTTTATTCGACCGCCACTGTTATGAGATATTACCTGCCCAAGCCCACTTTTCTTAACAGTCAATTTGATGTCTCTGACATGCATGCGCTCTGATCCAAGTATATCTCCTCTTCCCTTCAGCGTAATTACAAGCGGCCACAACCTCCTCCGCGCTGCTTGACGCAATTTTCAGCGCTTGTTCAATTTTCCCCTCCCGAAAGTCCCATGTTTCTGATCCGTGCAACCCAGCGGGCAATAAAATAAAAACCGCTGAAACCCATTTTGTTTCTTCAGGCACGCTGGCAAGTTGCCAGCTTGCAGTTGAGAAATGATTTTGCGCCTGAGCCGCGTTACCTGCCGTGCCTCCTTTACCGCTTCGTGGCTGGGGAAAGAAGGTGCCGCATTATCGTTCGGTTGGCGGAGAGGAACGTCGATCCGTGTCTCGACTACGACGCCGGATTTGGAAATTCTTCGTCGCGGATGTTTGCATGCGATCCATGCACACAATATCAGATTCGTCTTGCACATCAGATCATGATTGTGCATGACAAATCTAACTGCGTGCATGGAGCAGTGGCGCAGTTATTAGTGCACTGCGGTGCAAGCCCTGCCACATGAGTTTTGTTTCCTGGTCACGGTTAACATTAGTGGCGAGCTATTTCAAGAACCGGCCCTGGGGTCTCCCCCCCCCCCTTCTCCCTCCTACTGGCCTACTCACACTGACCTAGCATGGTGAAGTACAGTCAAATAACTTCCCCCATGACTGACATTGTGTAAGGGAGGCCATCATCCATCAGTGGATAGACAAAGGGCTTGGATACCAATGAAGCAGGAAATTGACAGAGGGGTGTAAATCGTGAAACCTTTCCCGGAGCTGTGTAGGTATTCTTGAGCCTCTGTCACCAGGAATGTGTGTTGTGTCACCAGGAATGTGAGGTGTGTAATGTGTCACCCTCCGAGCAGTATTACGCTTCAAGGTCCCCAATTCCATTCAGGAATCGATCGTTTTGTTGATGATATTAATGATTGGGATGCATCGCCGTTTACCGAGTGAGCGGGTACATCCCAAAGAAAACGGGCTGGCACGACGCGCAATAAGCCTGCCCGACGTTGCGAACCCCCACCCTCTCGCAGGTCATCAACTTCACGATGCCGAGCACCATCAAGCACTACGTGCACCGCGTCGGGCGCACAGCGCGCGCCGGTCGCGCCGGCCGCTCCATCTCACTCGTCGGCGAGACGGAGCGCCGGGTCCTCAAGGACATTGTCAAGCAGGCCAGGTCCACCGTCAAGAGCCGCGTTTTGCCCCCAGGTGCGCCGCCCTGACCCCCCCCCCTCCGCAACCTCCAACGCTGTCCCCCTGCATTGTGGCTTTTTATGTACGTTGAACTTCTTTCGCACCGTACATAGCTAATCGGAGGTGCGGGAAAAGATAAGAAACTAACACACACAAAATGCAGTTCTGAAGAAATTAGTTTTCAATCTCGGTGATTTAAAAGTGTTATAGCTCCAGTGGCTTCCTAATATCGGAATGAAGAGCGTTCCAGACGGCCGCAGATGCACATCTGAAAGCGTGCAATGCGGTCACCGTCTTTGTTCGATGGCCAGCCAAAATTCGATGGCTATGAACGTCCTCAATTATCCACTCACTGCTGGAACCCAGGAGGCCTTTGTATCCAGCAGTGGATCGACGGAGGGCTGCACATTCCGATTGTTATTTGTTATTGTTTCATGAAAGTTTGGTCATTTCAGCTTAAGTGGTCAAGGCTTTGGTGGTGTGGTTTGCCCAGCTATTATTGCCATACGAGTTTGATTATCTTAGATCGTATGCTGATAAAATAGTAACAACTGCGGCCTAATATATTTTGATCAACGGATCTTATACATTTTCTGGCAAAGTACCCGAAATATGTTTTTTCTGACTTAGTTTAGTGACTAATAAAATTGAGGTTTTTTTCCGTAGAATATTCGATCAGCTGACGAGGGTTATTTGTTTTAAGTGTTATCGATTCATCGGTCTAGCTGCGAACAAAAACAACAACAACGAACATTAGTAATGCACCCATAAGAAATACGTCTCTGAGTATAAATATAAAAACGAGGAATGGGAGGGGGGGTGGGCAAGGGAAGGAGAGAAAGGAAGCATCTCGCTCGATTAACCTCTCTCTCCTCGCCCACCCACTTGCTCACCCACCCACTCACCCTCCAACCCACGGAAGGAGGGAAAGGAAGCGATTAAGGGGATCCGAAGGGCACAGTGTTGAAGAGAGGAATGAGTTGAGAGGGGGGGGGACTTGGAAGTAAAGAGAGGAACCAGGTCCAGGTGCCTTGGGGGGGAGGGAGTTCCAGAGCGTGGCAGGTTGTCTGCCGCCGCTGCTGCTGCATCGCCCCAACAATGTGCGTCTGTCCCTGCAGAGGTGGTGGAGAAGTTCCGAGTTAAGATTGAGAACATGGAGAAGGACATCTACGCAGTGCTACGCCTGGAGCGAGAAGACAAAGAGCTCTGCGCCTCCGAGAACCAGGTATGGAATCTTGTTACAACGTCTGCGTGTTGAGCTTCTTTCGTACCGTACGTAGCCAACCTTGTTAATCGGGGAATTGAATGGGAACCCTGTGCTTGTCGATTTTGTTGCAAAACCTCACGGACGTAACACAACTTGCGCCTCTTAGATTTCTTTTCTTGATGTGATTTTGTGCCAATTCGTACACCTCGGCAGCTTCCTGGCTGTGAATTATTATAATGATCAACATTGTCCAGGAAGCCTATGGGCAACCCTAAATCGCATCGTCACGAACGTGGATACTTGCACAAATGTAAAATAAATCATTACTCTCTCCAGCGTGTGTGACTGGGTCACCCAGACTAGAACCATGGAACATTTCACGACTCAATGTCCCGATTCACATATACAACGGAGGCATCATCACAACGATGCACCACTCTGCGACTCTTTGACGCAATTATCTGGCTCGACCACATCGATGTGAAAATTATCGTTGTTGTCCGAGATCAACACCAGCCATACAAAGAAGAAGCAGATTGATTACACTGGTCAACAACATTTTTTTTTCTGGCCTGGACTTTTGCAGCTGTTTTAGTATAATTTCAGGGTGCTGATTCCAAATCTGATCTCAGATTTGCTCTATCACATCTCATTTTTATGCTATCGGCATACCCCATTTTAATTGATTTTACCCGAAATTAACTCTCACTTATGATTGCAAGTTGTTGCGAGTCAGTGACTGCTTTAGTGTTAAAATATGGTGCGGTATTTTTAGGATAGTGTGTTTATAATATAAATTTATGTAGATATCCACATTTATTTAATATTTTTCTTCTGCAGTTTTTATTGAAAATGCAATATTTGATATCTCAAAAACCTAATGCGATAGACAAAAACTGATGTCAGATTTGGAATCAGCACCCCAAAATTACATTAAAACCGTTGGAATACCTTATGCCAGAAAAAGTGTGTTGACCAGTGTTATTATTGTTACGATGATTGGTGTTGCGGCGCAGCTCAGTAAGGCGCAAAAGCAGCTGGACGGAACGGTGCAGGACGAGGCGGCGAGGACCTGGTTCCAGACCAAGAAGGAGCGCATGCAGGAGAAGGGTGAGTGCACGTCAGAGCCACCGCTGGTTGGAACACGAGCTGCATGCTTACCACTAGCGCACAGGCTCCACCACGCAGTGCGCTTCCACCTGTTTGAATTGAGGACAGTGAATTTAAATAATGAGCGGCATGTGCCGCTTCACCTCTTGATCTTTAATCAATTCGTTTGGCGGGTCATCTTAGAGTTGGGCACGCGCGTGTGTATTTAACCAGTGCCTGATGTGTTACGTTAACATCGGTGCTGGGGAGGCGATGGTTGCCGGGCATAGTCCTGGCCACAAGCACCGCCTCGTTCATGGATGCTAGCCAACAGCAGTTGTCTCAACTGTGTCGCTAACTATACCGGGGATCTTTGTCTTTTTGTGTAGCCATGAATGCATTACAATGACGCACACTCGCATCAGTGGCGTAGTGTTTAGCGGACTGCGCTACGACCCCGGTGATCTGGGGTTTAGTTGCCGGTCACGGCTAACACCAGTGAAGAGTGACATCAGAACTGGTCCTGTACCTTAAAGTAGTACCTTGTGCGGTCCATTTTGGCCTTTTTAGATTCTCGCGAACAGCCCTTGCAATCTATTTCTTTTCTTCTCCCATCACTAGCCAGGAAGGCGCTGCAGCAATACGACACGGCCCTGATGGGCAAGAAGAAACGGCAGGAGCACGTGAAGGAGCTGCGCAAGAAGCAGCAGACGGTGAGGCCCGTTGCCCCCCGTCGCTACGACGACGACGCCGCATGGTGTCTCCTTGCATCCACAAATAAGAACGTGAAATCTTCTTAGTTCTTTCGGTAAAGTCACGTAGAAGGGAAATAATAAAATAATTAAAATAAAACATAATAAGATAATTCTCACGACGTTTCGGCCACAACGCAAGCAGCCGTCCTCGGGTGAAGAACAGGTCTGTCGGGAAGACAGCGTCTGAATGAAACACCCCAGGCTTGGAGCGTATATTTAAGCTGGGTTGGAGGGGGAAGAGAGCCTTGACAAAAGAATTTGCATATCAAGAGGAATTCCTCTTGATATGCAAATTCACCAGACGCTCTCTTCCCAACAGACCTGTTCTTCACCTGAGGACGGCTGCTTGCGTTGTGGCCGAAACGTCGTGAGAATTATTTTATTATGTTTTATTTTTATTATTTTATTATTTCCCTTCTACGTGACTTTACCGAAAGAACCAAGAAGATGAATCCCTGCAGTCACGAAAGCTTTAAATCGAAAAAGAACGTGAAAATTTACAAATTGGGTCGGTCGGTCGTGCCGCGTGTGGCCGTGGCCACCATCATTTTTAGTACAAGGTGCCCCCCTGGGAGCTGCAGAAGCAGAAAATTCCGGCCTCAGATTTGCTCATCCTGACTAGGGTTGTCTCAACCCCTGAGGGCGGTACCCCAGGGTGTTTTCGCCCGCTGCCAAAGCCAGTCTGCTAGAACGCGCAAGCAGCTAATGTTGTCCTGCCGACGTCTGTTTGGAGCATTTTCGTAAATTTTTTAAATAATGTTACGGTGACGGCATGGCCTCAGGCAGTGACATTGCTTAGCGATGCGCAATTCTTTCTGTCTATTATATTAGTGCGTGTAGCGTATTTCCTTTAGGGGGTATAATAGATTTGCTGGATATAAGCACGCCTTGTAGAACTAAGAGTTATGATTTTAGCAACACATGTTTCCCGTACACTGATGGAGGGTGAGAAGGCAAAGGGCAACTTCTGATACAAGCACACTTCAGATAAGAAGCACAGCTGGCCTTGCTCCCAAGAAAAAGTGAGTCCTTATATCCAGAGTCTACTGCGGTGACCTTGCGGGGGGATTGATAATGTCGTTTTGGGGCACTTTTCGCAAGTTGCCGGTTTTATTTCTGTGAGTTGCGTTGGTTATGCTGACCGTGCCGACGATTGACGACGTCTGCCGATGTGTGTGTGTGGTGGGGAGCGGTAGTGTGGCGGTTAGCACTACGCTGCGCTACGAACCCGGTAAACCGAGTTCGATTCCCGCTCACGGCCAATACCCGGTGACGATTATCTGAACCGGTCCTGGGCCTCCCCCAGGTCGACTCAGCCTCGAATGAGCACTTTGTGCAGTGGTGTGTAAACATCGCCACTAGGGAGACAAAGGCGGCCGGGCGTGGTGCTGGCCACCCACCCCCTTGTGTGCTGTGCCGGCCTTCATAGGTGCTCGCAAACAGCACTTGGCCCAACAGTCTGTTAAAGGTTTGTCTTTGCGCGTGTGCGTGTGCGCGTGTGTGTGTGCATTGGCCGCCGTGAGCAGCCAGAGGACCGGGCCCAGTTTGAGATCGTCAAGGCGCAGATGTACGCTGAGCGCACGATGAAGCGCAGCCGCAAGCCCAAGAGGGCTCGCGTCATGCCGGAAGACCTGCCCCGTCCCAAAGGTACCGCGCGTTCAGCTCACGCAGGGCAGCGGAAAGACGGGAAGGGCAGGGCAAGGGGGGACAGCAGCCACTTCCAGATTGAAAACGAATTTCTTTACAACTGCTTAATCGTGTTTAGTTTGTTGTCCTTCCCCCCCCCCCCGCACCTCCGATCAGCAAGGTTGGCTACGTAACGGTGCAAAAGAAGTTCTACGCGCAGACGCACACATACAGCCAGACCCAGATGCTAGCGTTTTGGGACCAACTTTTTTAAATCGAGAAAGTAGTCGTTGAACAGCACTGGTTTCCGGACATCGAACATTGGGTGAAGGTTGAAGCGCTTTACCATTCGGATGGTTTCGTTGACTCTATCGGTGTAAATACAACGCCACATCGAACATATCATTTGCATTTGTGGATTTTTCACACGTGCAACTTTATAGGTGTACCGTTGCGTTAGCTTGAATGTGGTTTTTTTATCGATTGGTGAATCCGTGCCTTGGGTTGCACGCTGACCTCGGTGGAGGAGTGAGTACCCAGAGTGGTTTCGGAGCAAGTTGGGTCACCTTTCTCGTGCCCGCTCGCTCCCCAGTCCTACTTTAGATCCCGACCCTGACACCTGCTGTATATTTGGAGTTTGCATGTCTCCATGTCCTCCGGATGTTCTCGACTTATTTAGAAACATGCATTGAGATAATTTTGCTGCTATAAATGTCCAAATGATGGGCCACTTTTTGTTGAGCTGTCATTTGTGGGCAGGTCGCTTGAAACATAAGTTTGTGCCTCGGTGGGGTTTGCCTGGTAGGATCGGGGGATGGTTTAGTGTTGTTTGTGTTTGGGTGATTTGTTTACCTTTGTTGTTCTTTGCACTACTCGTGTTGTATTTTTGTTGTTGTAACGTTCTTACCCGCCCCCTACTGGACATCTGTGACAAAGAGCTTTATAGCTCATCGGATTCCTCCAGTATAATTATTTATTCCAATTCTGTGATTCTATTTTGGTCCATGGATTATTAGCCTACGCAGCGACTAATGGGATGGCTGTTATGAAATAGATCGCCGTTATAAAGGTTGAGCCTTGATGGTGCTCGCATGAGAAGCTCACCGTGCCGGGCGCCAGGTGTTATAGGCTTTAGACTGCGGGATTGGGGGTGGGGGAAGTTTGTCTGGGGCTGTGGTGGGCAGCAGAGGGCAGCGCGGGAAAACCCACTGTTGTGCTGTACTTCACGCATCATCCATACTTCCCATCGTCACTAAACCCGCACAGACTGGCGTGGTGAAGTATGGTCATCCAGCAGTGGATTGACGGAGCAGAGTTGTAACGTGTAACAGTGTTCGTGTCGCTAGGCCGGGTTGTATTCATCTGGAGAGCTCAAAGCAACCGCAGCACATTGATTTGACTTGTAATAAAAGTAGTGTCCATGATTCAATTGGTTTTCATGTTCGGGCAGATCGAGGTAGACTGACGCCGTGGAGTGCAATTTGCATATTAACCATAGTTAATTTCCTCACTCATTGTTTAGTGAAGTTGTGATGCTAGGCAAGATGGGAACAGCAGGGGGTGCACTTTCCTAAAGAGGCTCGTGTTTCTGGTTTATGGACGGACGTCAGAGCTGCGTGGAGTGGTGGTTGTATTTTGCGGCTTATTAAAATGTCCATACGCAAGAAACCAATTAGCCATTGGCTCCCAACAATGCGTAGGTTTTTTTTTTTTCGAAATAACACGATGAGCATTGTGTGTCCGATATGTAGTACGTTTCGTCGTTTTAGCCACATGTTCTGGAATCGCATGTCACAAGATGTCGCGTGCGAAATTTCAGGATGCAAGCAACTTAATGACTCCTTTTCTCATCTTATCCACTTTCCCCTCCGCCCCCCCCCCACCTCCTCCCATCCACTTCGTTCCTCTCCTCCCCCTCCCCGGCGTTGTTTAATTTTTGAATGGTGAACAGAAGACACACGCCCCACCAAGATCGCCACGTTTGACCGGGAGCTGACCAACACGAGCCGCAAGGCCCTCAAGCAGTACCGCGCCGGGTGAGCGACCGTTTCACACGGCACTCGCGTATGCTGGACATCTACTGGACATCTGTGAAAGAGAGCGTCGTTGCTCATGGGATTCCTCCAATATAAAGAATTATTCTGATTCTGATCTGACTCGCAATTCAAAGGTTTGCGAGTTCAACTTCCCGGTTGAAGGTTGACTCCATGATGTTATTGGTTCGATGAAATGGGTTACCATTGTTTGCGTGGAAGTCGACAGCGGTTGTCCTGTGGATGGACTCGTCCCCTGCCACAGGAATGTGGAAATTTCACCACTGGCTCAGGGCTGTAAAATGAAGATGAGCACCGTTTCAATGCGCTTTTGGACAGGAAATCACTTTTGACATTTTATTATTCGGCAAACACACACCCATAGCTTTATCAATATATTCCGTACACACATCTGCTTCAAATCAGTCAAGGATGGACAAAAGCTGTTTGCCCATTGAACGTTTGTTTAAACTTGTATCTTTTTGAATATATACTGTGCCGTGCCGCCACCCTGTGTTTTTGCATGCCCCCCTCCCCCTCTTTAAACAAACCCACGCTGCAGGGATTACGTTTTGATTTGTCGATTGTTTGTCGTCTGCGTGACCGTTAACACTAATCACGTGGCCCTGAGACTAAATCACCTGCCACTTTCCTATGTTTGCTACCGTTTGGAGGTCAGTGGCGCGGCCGTTGAAACTCCTGCTTTGTCGTATTGAATGAAAGAACCAAAGTAATATTGAATGAAGCTAACGTCTCTGCATATTCTGCCGCGTCACATTGAAGGCCGACGTTTGACGAGCGCAAGAAGCTCGGGATGGACACCCGCAGGAAGGGCGGAAAGTTCAAGTCCAAAGGACGGTAAGTGTCCCCGTCTTTAAGACTCGCTGAGATGTTTGGCCAGTTACATTAACGGGTGGCTTCGTCTGGGAGGAAACTGAAGAACATGGAGACAACAACCTGCTTGTACGAGGGCTCAATACGAATTGGGGGTGGAGAGACCCTTTCCAATGATGGGAGTTTTTCTGGCAGACTGCAAATATTTTTTTTTACAGTAAATGATCATATTAAATTAAAATTACACTCAATCAACACTTACATGTTTTTAACACTTCATAACTATTAGCTGAACACTAACTTTATAACCATTAACATATTTACTTACAATTTTATAGCAAATTCATGTGCTTAAACGAGAGTGCGTGCTTACCAAAGACTGCATTGCGCGCTTTCAGATGCGTTTCTGCGGCCGTCTGGAACACTCTCCCTTCGAATATTATGAAGCCACTGGAGCTATGCTCTTTTAAATCTCTTGAAAACTCATTTCTTTATAACTGCTTTTTTGCGTTTAGTTTGTCCTTCCCACCCGACACCTCCGATTAGAGCAGTTGCCTACGTACAGCGCGAAAAAGGTTATACATACGTACCAGCAGCTGTAGGGGAGCGCGATCGGTGATCCCCGTGCCCTTGGGGTGTGGGGTGGCGTACGGATTGACCACCGTGTCCTGCTGCACACGGTTGCTTTTGCGCTTGAACAGCGGTCGGGCTGCATATTTTAAAATTCAAAGTCTCTCCGGCAGACCCCTTATTCTGACCCTACCAAGTCCAGCATCGATAGGGTGTGTTTGCCGCGTTGCGTGAACGTGTGCTGGATTTCTCTCTGGCAGGTATAAGAGGAAGTGATGGCGTTCACTCGCAGAGGAGGGAGGGCCTGGCGCGTGCTGGGTGGCGGTGGGCACATTCTGACTTCAGCCGAGTGCTGACCCAGCCCTTGGCTTCGTGTTTGCCACCCAACCTGGACATTTCATTCCATCCACACACGATCCATTCAGGTGGGGCCCAATCAAGACAACCTACCCGCGTTATCCATTTAGGGCCACTAATCTTCTTGTGATCAGTTTCCATAAATTGTGAATATTGTTTTAATTTTAACTCGGCACAGGGCCTGTTGTTTTGATCGGATGCGGCCCGTTCAGATTGGTCACTATGTACAATATGCCAATCTGGATTAAACTTATTTTTTTATTATACCGGATAAGGCCCACTGAGCTATAAAGTTATTTTTCAGAAGTGACGAAGTGGCTTATCATCATGTGGAAAGTTATCGCAGCCAAATACTCTAAAAGCATGTTTCTAAATGTGGAGGAGGGAAAAACCCGAGGACCCGGAGGAAAATCCACGCGACCACGGTGGAGAACATGCAGAGTTCAAATACACAGGCGTTTATTTATATGATATATATAAAATATTTTCCGTTTGGCACGTTCTGTGGCAGCCAGGCATGAAAACATCCGCAGATCCTAATTGACCTTGCCATGTGTTTTTGCAATGGATAGGGACACAGCACAATTCATGACTCGATTGCCATCGTTTATAAAGTGGGGGGAGCGCAGCGTGTAAATGTTTAATAGGGGCAGCGTGCGCGTGTGTGACATCTGTGTTCGGCATCAAGTTGTGCTTTTGTACTATACAATACACGCCCCTCCTGTGTTTCATTAAAATAAACACCGGCTTGTTCGTTCTGTACATGTGTTCTCGGCGTATGTTAAATGGTGATGTATAAAGGTCACGAGCAATTGTTGTGGCATGTCAGTGCCTTGGGGCTATGGAAAATGTGTACGTCGTAAACAGTTTTGCAATGAGCCCGATGTTATCTGGATAGGGTGCTTCAAGCTTTTGTTGGCTTTTAACGTCCCCAAGGCAAAGGTTGAGCATTGGTGCCTGACGGTGCAGCTCAATTTGTCGCAGGCGCGCTTCCCTAGCCTTAATTGATAATTGCGTAAACGAGCTGAAAAATATCGTCATGTGCACCGCACACGCGGAACTCGCCAACACCCGTAAACGTGAGTGCTCCTTGGTTGCTGCAAAGTCATGGTGACCTTGGCTGTCAAGTTTTTCATGGTTTAGTTCCTTGCGGGGGGTGGGGTTATCCTCAATTTGAAACCTGTAGGAGGCAATTCTGGCATTAATATGGCATGAAGGGGAATACAAGTTTGGCCGTTCTTTTATTTTTCATTTTGTTTTTCCACCGGATTTAGTTTGTTTCAGCTGGCAATATCAAATATCCCCCGCTTAGTGTACATTGGTTATGTTTAGATGGCATACATTACTTTTATTAACATGTTTTTATCATGGTAATACAGATTGTTGGGAGTGGTACAGTGGTTGGCACACTGCGCTGTGAACCTGGCGACTTGAGTTTGATTCCTGGCCACGGTTAACATAAATGGCTAAGAGTGATATCTTAAAGTGACTATGTGCAAACAGAAAATCCAAGAAAAGACAGCAAAATATTGCATAAAAAGCACCATACACCAACGCTGTGTACAAAAATCTCAGTGGGATGCAAGTCAAACAACAACAACAACCACAAGACAACTTAGATTAAGGTCATCAGTCCAACTCTGTACTACAACAAACAGACATGGCCAAACCGAAAAACTTTTCAAAAATCACTAAAATAAAGCCATAAAAGCAATGAAACAGTAATATGAAGCATGGTCAAACAACCTCCATGACTCATGCTGCTTGGTCAATCCAGCAGTGGATTGTCAAAAGGGCCGCATATTTTTTAATGCACAGCTTGATTCCACTGTTTCAGTGCTGTGAAATATCTCCATGCCAAAGATGTCTGCGTTGTATAAACACTGGCGATGGTGATTAAATTATATGCTTGCTAAAGTATGCAAGCCATGAAATACCAAAAAGTTTGTGTAAAACTGAACTTTAATCAACATTGATTTGAGCATCGATGTTTGCCTTGAAAATGTGTGTTCTGTTTGCAGATCAAGGCAGTAAATACAAGACTCAGATTTTTATCTAGATGCATTAATCTCGTACTTGTATATGCAAGCAGTCATTGTGTTCACGCGCATGGTCCATCTGTTCATGTGTATCGGCTGTCTTCAGAAGTGACACATTTGTAACACATGTTGGGATCATCAACTTGTAGAGGCTTGAGAGCCATAATGTTACCTGGACGACGCTGTGCGATGTGCTATGGGAGACTGTTTCTGAAGATGCCAAGAACTCCACTTCTCCAAAGTTGTGTTCAACCCTCCCTCATGGGCATGCAAAGAGAAAGCAACAAGCTGAGAAGTGTACAACGATACACAGAGACGTACGTGCTCTTTTTGTTGCGCAGTTCCTAGCAACGTCGATCACAACATGGACCTGTTTACAGACATCGTTGACTTAAAATAGTAAGTGGACTTGGGCAGAACATTGCATCAACGGATGATAACCGGCTGGTTGAAACTTGGCAATGTCAATCTTGATTTGACACTTTCGTGACTGCAGGAATCCATACTCTTTGGCTCTTTCGGTAAAGTCACGTAGTTAGAAAAATAATAGATCACGACGTGCTTAGCAGTGGCAGCCAAAGGGCAGAGCCTATTGTACCAGAGAGGGCATCCATGAATTAAAACTGTGAGCTCGTTGCATCGCAAGACCGAGAGAGATGGGAGACCTAAATCCAGCAGTGGATACATCATGGCTGATGACGGAATATGTTTGTTGCGATTGGATGTGTGTGTCCGTTAAACGACGTCGTATAGAAACGTCACATGACATGCAGGGCAGGGCTGTGTTCTGGTATGAACTCTTCCCGACTGTGGCTGTGACCAAGCCGTACCGGTTCTCGACCAGGGGGCCGTTTGCGAGCCGAATGACCTCGTTATCTGCCCTGTTGATCTCGTGTCCAGCGGCCGCATGAGCTGCTGTCGGCAAAGTGACCTGCTCAATTGCATCTTGATGTCACTGCTTTTGTAAAGGCTACTATTTTTTTGTTGTCAAAAACAAGACTAGTTTGTTCCCTCGGGAATTAAAAGTGCGGCATTAAAAACACGGCATTTATGGTGTTTAACAATGTTTCCAGGTATACAATTTTGGTGTGGGGGGTAAAAAGGTTATGCTAATCCTTTTTCAATTCTGCAACAACAAAAATACCGTTTTCGCGTAAATGAATTCGTATTGTTACATATTAATGAACTTAGGAAAATTCTCTGTTTAGGTTTGCGAATTGAGTGTTTTAACTTCTTTCGCACCGTACGTAGCCAGCCGGTACTGCTTGTTGCATGGCTCAGTGTTGTGCACACTCCTTCAAACCCAGCTACTCGGGGTTCAATTCCCGGCCATAGCTAAAGGAGACGCAGGTTAAAAGTGGTTACAGTGTCGACCAGTGGCATCTTAATCTCAGGAGTTACCCTCACCCCACTGTGCATGTAATCCATGCGGAAAGGTGTCGCTCAAACGGAGCCCTTGCTCGTCACAAGGGAGCTCAACAGGAATGAAACGCTACCACCACCGTAAGATGACCAAGGGATTACTGACTCCCGATGCAAGAGAGGTCATTGTCCTTGGCGACGGGACTGCATTATGATGCTCGCTCAATTCATCCATACAACAGGTGTTTTGGGTTTGGAGGAAACGGGAGGACTTCTCCACAAATCTGGCCATCGCCTGATGAAGCTAGTTGTAATTACTGGCGAAACGTCGTACTCTGTAAATGTTTTGGCTTGGCTCTCCAACACACCGGTGATGCTGTACTAGTGACGAATTGACACGTTCTGTTTACGTGACAAACCTTACTAGTTGGTTGTGTCTGGTGGTGGTGAGTTTAACAACATTTTCGTGATCTAACCACACCTGTACTATGGATGATATTGGTCGCGAAAGCCTGCGTGTTAAGCTTAAGTCGGTTATATTTCCGATGTGAACTTGAGCATCCTCATAGGTTGGCACAGGTGCGAAGACGACTGGAGAGACCGTGGCGGCTCTGTTCGTGGTTTATGCCGTGTGCCGTTTAGGCGCCGTGTAGGGTCACTAAGGTCATCGTTAACAGCACTTGCCTCAACAGACCCATGTATGTTACATGGTGGGGGGGGGGGGGGGGTGTTTTGTTGTTGTGCCACTGATTTAATTCTGCCCTCGGATTACCGAGCCAGCATTGCCGAGGCTCTGGGGTCAAAGTCGGGCAGCTTGCACGTGGATTGAAACCGGCCTCTCAAGTGTCGTGAGTTTATGGTCTCACCAGTCCCGTCGCCAATGAATGCACGCACACACACACAAATTACATTAGCTTCGGTTTTTTCCCACTTAATTCGGTGTTAATCCATCTCTCAAGAATTAAAAGCTTCAGTTTGACATGGGTTATCCTTGGCAGGGAATGTAAAATGGTGTGTGAGACTGTTCTTTCTTTACATTGCTCACCGAATCTTGAATTGTCAATTTATTCCATGGCACGATGGTTACGGCTCAACCGAATGTCCATGGAATGGGAACAATAATCTCGTCGGTGTCGGCGAGTGTGACGGTCTGCCTTCCTCGATTCGATTCGCAGATTATTTTGTTTTGCCATCGGGACGAACGTTCGTGTGCTTCTCGTTGGCTGCTGCAGGCTTTACCTGGGCCGTTCGCAACGTGTACAAATCAATGTTCACACGGACCATTCGATACGCGTATCGGGAGTCCCAAGGATCGATTTTGATTGATGCACTTGTCCATGCCTGGGAATGGCGGACGAGTGCGCCGACAAGCATGGCGAGGTGCCTCGAGTTTACTCCTGAGCCACAGGAAGGGGGGGGGGGGGTACACGTGGATTAGAGATCATACACAGTCAAGTTATTGACTTATACTGGTAGGAACCTCCTGGTTACACCTGCCCACGGGATTATTGTGTCCGTCCGTCGTGCATCCAAAAATGGGAGGGGTGGGGCTGGGTGGGGAGGAAGGGGCTGGGTGGGGAGGGTGGGGCTGGGTGGGGGGTGGGAGGGGTGGGGCTGGGTGGGGAGGGGCTGGCCACCCCGTGGTGCCCTTATAAAACTCAACGTTTAACCTACTCACGCCGGCTTGTGCCCGCCCTCAGTCGGCCATATTTGTGGAATACACCACGCCGCCGTTGACCCTGGCCATTGACCGAGCAACCCGACGTTCCTACCAGCTCCCTCCGCAGGAATGTGTTTTACCAGGCAAGGCGTACTGAGCTATATAGCTCTTTTTCAGAAGCGACCTGGAAACACAATAGCTCAACGAAGTGGTGGAGCATATGTACATTTAAACGCATGATTATAAATGTGGAGGGAAAAACCAAAGGATCCGGTTATCAATCCATGCGACCACGGGGAGAGAAACAAGCAAACTCCAAATATACAACAGGCATCGGGATTGAACCGACGACCTGTATACCAGGCGAAGTAGTCGACATCTCGCTTCCGTTGGTTTTAGCAGCACAATTACTGGAAGAGGTGGTCTTAGACAACGTCCTACGTGCAGGAGCTGAACAGATTGTTTTTTTTCCATCGTGAGACATGAGAGATGATGATGATCGTTAAGCAGTGGATAGATCACGGCTGTGAAGATGAACCTGGGAATAATGTCGTTCATCGCAGAGGTTGTAGCACTCGCACTAACCACACGTGTCTCTCCAGGTTTCAACTCACAAAGCATAAACCCATCGGGCAAAATCTGGTCATCCTCGCAGCGGCTTTTGGCTAACCTTTTGAACAAAGACGGTCACTGCATCGCGCACTTTCAGCATGCCCTTCTGCGGCCGTCTGGAACGCTCTTTCGATATTAGGAAGCCACTGGATCTATGCACTTTTAAATCGCCTAGATTGAAAATTTATTTAGAACTGCGTTTTGTGCTTCGTTTGTCCTTCCCCCTCTGCAGCTTTTAGCGCGGTTGGCTCTTATCATCCCGAAATAAGTGCAACATACACACGAGGCAAGATCACCCAGACACGTTCCAGCTTCGCTGCGTTTTATTTTTCGTGTTTTTTTATGCATTTCTCACAAGCAACATGATGCAGCGGTTTTCATCACATTTTATTCTGCCGAGAAAACAACGACGCACAAAATAAGGGCAGGTGGATCACTCGCTTGTATGTGGACACAGCGGGTTTGCAATGGGGTGGTCCTTTAAAGCAACGGTAACATGACAAACTTTTACGTAATTCTAAAACATTTCAACGAGGCAAAACACATCCCCCCCCCCCTCCATTACAATTTTTTTGCATAAATCATGTGACGTTAAGCTTGGTGAAGTCATATAAAGTAACTTGTTCTCGAAACGTTGAACCGTTCCGTTGTGTATGAACCAACCCCACATTAATTCAGTGCCGTGATTTATTGAATACAACTGATGTCTCGTGCGGGGATCTTGGCTGGCTTTTTCAAATTTGGAAATTACGTTGGGCCAACATTGGCTCAGTGGTTCCAACCTCATGCCAACGTTGGCACCAAAGTTGACTTGTCGAGTTGTGTGGGGGGGGGGGGATTTTGTCCATCTGCGCTTGCCTTCAATGCTGTAAAGCATAAACCTACCAGTACTGGCAATCTAAAAGCAACGCTGTGCCTTGCTAAACGGTGCAGCGTGTTTTTCCAACAGCTTGCATTGGCACATTTCCCCAAGACACGTGTTCCGCTAGCCCATCTGTTTTATATTTTCTACGCAGAGTTGAAGCCTAAAACAAACTAAGCATACACCTTTAAATGTCTCTCTTTGTCTGCGCCATCATTTTAAAGCTCTCCGTGAACAAAGCCCCCGTGTGGTGGTGCGTGCGACGAGATGTGGGGGACCTTCTTGCGACGACGATACACGTGTGGTCATCTCGGCAGGACTGGATTGGCATTGGCGCTGTACTGAAAAATCCCACTGCTCTGAAAGACACTGCTGTGATGGGGAAAACAATAACTACTTAATTTTGGAATCCAGAATATTAACTACCCATAATATTTAAAAAAAATTCTGATGTTGAAGAGGCTCCCAGCGCGTGCAATGGAACATTGTGCTGGACGACGCGAGGCACAACCGGAAAATACACAGCTATAATTTACAATCGTTTGTTAATCTGCTGATGGATGAAGGCCTCCCAATCCTGTCACGCACGTGGTTTTATTTACCATACTTCACCACAATGGTCAGTGCAGGTTGGCAAAGAAGGAGGAGGGAGGTGCATCTAGGATTGGTTCAGATATCTCTCGCCGCTGATGTTAGACCAGATATCAAACTCAGGTAAGCCAGGTTCATACCACAATGCGTTGTGCCCACACACCATCTGTGCAACTCTACTGCTCGACAAGAGCTTTCCTGCACTGGTGCAGATCGTTTATCCATACTTCACGCTGGAATAAACTCCCAATTGCGGTCGGGGCTGCTGCTGATTTGAGTTATTTTTTTGGGGTGCGGGATGAATCGCCGATCATGCAGATATCGGCCAACCACAAAAGGTCGGCAGTTCACGTAACGCGATCTTCGCCAATTTGGATTTACTCGATCAATGATTTGCTTGATGATTAAACCCCTCGATTATTCTGTCATTCATAGCCTCGATTCTGTGTGAGCTCATTCAAAAAGGCAATGGTTATTTTGACGTCAGTTATTTTTACGTAACTAAATTTTGTGAGTATGTATGCTGAACTTATTTCGCACCGATCGCAGCCAACCATGCTAAAGTACGTGCGTGTGCACGCAGGATAATTTGCATTCCTATATCCGATTCCCGTCGCCCCTCTATCGATAATTCATACTCCAGCGGTCCCTCACTGGCAGTAGAATGTCAGCGCGTTGGGTTGGTTGTGGGGTCCTCACTGGCAGTAGAATGTCAGCACGTTGGGTTGGTTGCCGGGCCCTCACTGGCAGTAGAATGTCATCACGTTGAGTTGGTTGTTGGGCCCTCACTGGCAGTAGAATGTCAGCACGTTGAGTTGGTTGTTGGGCCCTCACTGGCAGTAGAATGTCATCACGTTGGGTTGGTTGTGGGGCCCTCACTGGCAGTAGAATGTCATCACGTTGGGTTGGTTGTGGGGCCCTCACTGGCAGTAAAATGTCAGCACGTTGGGTTGGTTGTTGGGCCCTCGCTGGCAGTAGAATGTCAGCACGTTGGGTTGGTTGTTGGGCCCTCACTGGCAGTAGAATGTCAGTGCGTTGAGTTGGTTTTTGGGCCCTCACTGGCAGTAGAATGTCAGCACGTTGGGTTGGTTGCCGGGCCCTCACTGGCAGTAGAATGTCAGCACGTTGGGTTGGTTGTTGGGCCCTCACTGGCAGTAGAATGTCAGCACGTTGAGTTGGTTGTTGGGCCCTCACTGGCAGTAGAATGTCAGCACGTTGGGTTGGTTGTGGGGCCCTCACTGGCAGTAGAATGTCAGTACGTTGGGTTGGTTGTTGGGCCCTCACTGGCAGTAGAATGTCATCACGTTCAGTTGGTTGTTGGGCCCTCACTGGCAGTAGAATGTCAGCGCGTTGGGTTGGTTGTTGGGCCCTCAGTGGCAGTAGAATGTCAGTACGTTGGGTTGGTTGTTGGGCCCTCAGTGGCAGTAGAATGTCAGTACGTTGGGTTGGTTGTTGGGCCCTCAGTGGCAGTAGAATGTCAGTACGTTGAGTTGGTTGTTGGGCCCTCACTGGCAGTAGAATGTCATCACGTTGAGTTGGTTGTTGGGCCCTCAGTGGCAGTAGAATGTCAGCACGTTGGGTTGGTTGTTGGGCCCTCACTGGCAGTAGAATGTCAGCACGTTGGGTTGGTTGTGGGGCCCTCACTGGCAGTAGAATGTCAGTACGTTGGGTTGGTTGTTGGGCCCTCGCTGGCAGTAGAATGTCAGCACGTTGGGTTGGTTGTTGGGCCCTCACTGGCAGTAGAATGTCATCACGTTCAGTTGGTTGTTGGGCCCTCACTGGCAGTAGAATGTCAGCGCGTTGGGTTGGTTGTTGGGCCCTCAGTGGCAGTAGAATGTCAGTACGTTGGGTTGGTTGTTGGGCCCTCAGTGGCAGTAGAATGTCAGTACGTTGGGTTGGTTGTTGGGCCCTCAGTGGCAGTAGAATGTCAGTACGTTGAGTTGGTTGTTGGGCCCTCACTGGCAGTAGAATGTCATCACGTTGAGTTGGTTGTTGGGCCCTCAGTGGCAGTAGAATGTCAGTACGTTGGGTTGGTTGTTGGGCCCTCAGTGGCAGTAGAATGTCAGTACGTTGGGTTGGTTGTTGGGCCCTCAGTGGCAGTAGAATGTCAGTACGTTGGGTTGGTTGTTGGGCCCTCACTGGCAGTAGAATGTCAGTGCGTTGAGTTGGTTTTTGGGCCCTCACTGGCAGTAGAATGTCAGCACGTTGGGTTGGTTGCCGGGCCCTCACTGGCAGTAGAATGTCAGCACGTTGGGTTGGTTGTTGGGCCCTCACTGGCAGTAGAATGTCATCACGTTGAGTTGGTTGTTGGGCCCTCACTGGCAGTAGAATGTCAGCACGTTGGGTTGGTTGTGGGGCCCTCACTGGCAGTAGAATGTCAGTACGTTGGGTTGGTTGTTGGGCCCTCACTGGCAGTAGAATGTCATCACGTTCAGTTGGTTGTTGGGCCCTCACTGGCAGTAGAATGTCAGCGCGTTGGGTTGGTTGTTGGGCCCTCAGTGGCAGTAGAATGTCAGTACTTTGGGTTGGTTGTTGGGCCCTCAGTGGCAGTAGAATGTCAGTACGTTGGGTTGGTTGTTGGGCCCTCAGTGGCAGTAGAATGTCAGTACGTTGAGTTGGTTGTTGGGCCCTCACTGGCAGTAGAATGTCATCACGTTGAGTTGGTTGTTGGGCCCTCAGTGGCAGTAGAATGTCAGTACGTTGGGTTGGTTGTTGGGCCCTCAGTGGCAGTAGAATGTCAGTACGTTGGGTTGGTTGTTGGGCCCTCAGTGGCAGTAGAATGTCAGTACGTTGGGTTGGTTGTTGGGCCCTCACTGGCAGTAGAATGTCAGCACGTTGGATTGGTTGTCGGGCCCTCACTGGCAGTAGAATGTCAGCACGTTGGGCCCTCACTGGCAGTAGAATGTCAGCACGTTTGATTGGTTGCCGCGCACGAGCAGCACGGGCGCTCGCAGGTCCTGGGAGAGAGCGTCGAGCCACGCCATGTAGAGCGCGCTGGGACACGAATCCTTGCGCCCCACTGGCATGCTGCTGCTCACAGCGCAAGAGAGACACAAACGACAAGGAAAAATAAGCCCCCCACCCAATCGCTTTACAGGGAGGTGAAGATGCGAGCTCCCCCGGCCAAAGACACGGACGAAACTTTCTCCCTGTTTTACAGAAGGCTTCAAAAACAGGTTGCCCGTGATCAATTTGTTACAGAGTGGTCCAGATGTGGGCCCCGGCAAAAGACACGGACAAAACTCCCCCCCCACCTCTGTATATATGAGCCTTGGTAACAGATTGTCTGCGGCAAGCGTGTTGCAGGGTGGTCCAGACGTGAGCCCCCCCAACCCCCCAAAATCAGAATCAGAACATTTGTACTGGAGGAGAAATTCGATGAGCTATGAAGTTCTTTTTCACAGATGTCCAGTGGGGGCACGGGGTCAGAACGTTAGAACAACAAACAGTACAACAACGCGATAGGAGTGCAAAGTATCGGTTAGGTAAGCAAATCGCTGAAAAGTAACATTTGAAAAAGAAACTTTTTTTATCTAACCAGATAAGGCCCACTGAGCTATTAGCTTATTTTTCAGAAGGGACTTTGCTACATGTTAAGCCCAACGAATTGGCTTATCACGTGTAAATGTATATCAGTAAAACAAACTTATCTAAGCGCATGCATCTATTAATTAATGAAGCCGGAACATTTTTTTCCCTTTGCTTAACTAATTTCTGTTTTCGCACCAAATCGGTGTGCAAATTTTTGTTAAATTAATGAGGATTAAACGGGGATCACAAGACATCTGGGCCACCCAGGAGAGTGCACACCGCGCCAGGCACCAGGTCGTCGTTTCAAGGTCGAGTCTACCTAGGGGAGGGCCCCCAGGACTGGTTGCGACATTCGTCTTATATTCTTGCTCTGCCGCCTGCCGCTTTCACAGTCGTAATCCGTATTAGGTGCGACCAGTGGGCCCTCTCCCAAGGTGCTTTGTGACACTTCACGTGGCCTCAACGTGCACATAGCCTGGCACAAGCGTCGTGGTGACGTCACCGCCACTTAGTGGCGAATGGCGGTTGTTGTGACACGCGCCCGTTCCACCTCGGCACGTGATTTTTCTGTTTGCGCATAGTCACTTAAGATGTTTTCTTGTTCATGTTTTTGTTTGTTGCGGTTGCACCCGATTCAAGAGCCGAATGGCTCACAGGGCTACACCTAATAAATGAAACTGAAATGAAACTGATTTCTTCATCGTGGCGAGGATGCCCCACAATCGCTTCTCTCAGCTGGGTCAAGAGGCCGCGCGCGTTTCTCCATCTCCAAAAAAAAAATATGTCCCATGGCATAGGAAAGCGACCTGCCGTGAGTTTATGGCTCCCTACTGAGTGGTCAAGTGGGGTTGAGGTGTGGGGGGGGGGGGTGCGGAGAGAGAGAGAGAGAGACCCAGACATCGTGGTGGCCACTCACACGACGACGAGCGCAGAGTCCCGGGAGTAATCCAGCAGAATCTCATTGAGCCGGATCTGGCGAGACGTCTGTCAACAAACACACACACGCGTGCAAAGACAAAGATCCCCCCCCCTCGGATAGCCTCAACAGCCTGTTGGGGCAAGTGCTGTCACGCAAGCACCTGGGTGGGTGGCCAGCACCACGCCCGACCGCATTTGTCTCCCTAGTGGTGACGTTTACATACCGCACCAGGTACTCATTTGAGGCCGAGTCGACCTAGGTGAGGCCCAGGACCTGTTCAGGTCATTGGTGTTGGCCGTGGGCGGTAAACGAACTCAGGTAGCCAGGTTTGTAGTGCAGCGCGCTAACCGCTACACGTGCACACACACACCAACACACTGATGATGCCTGGCCCCAGGACTGTGATTTAAGTTCAAACCATCGAAAACCCTGGATGCTGCTACGACCCCCACACACACAAGGAAGTTATTCGTAAATCAGTTCACTGATGTGATCACGGAATTTTTTGGGGGTTTTCTTGTTTTTTTACTTCTGCTTCTTCCACTCGGAGCTTAATTTCTCACTGAATATTGTTCACGAGCCTATAGCCCTTCCGAGGACGGGTGTATTGCAGTAAATCTGAAACATTCAAGCTAAAAGCAGACCGCGACGTCCTATGCATTGCATCCATTCGTGTGCATTTTGTAAGGCCGCGGTGACACAGACTTATTTAATTTTAAGGTTATAATTAACTGTTCATCATGACGTCCTTTTTACTTTGATGTCTCAACAGCGTTACGGAGATCACGTGACGTGAGGGTTCTGCCTTTGTCGTGAGGGTTGTAAGTTGACGCTGAGGAGGGGGGCGGGGGGGGAGGCGCCTCGCCCCCCATGTGGAGTGACGTTACCCGTACATGAATATTAATGACGGGGGGGGGGGATCCATGCGGAGTGACGTCACCCATACATGATTATTAATGAGGGGGGGGCCCACCTATTCACGATTATTAATGAGGGGGGGGGGGTCGACGGGGAGTGACGTCACGGGCGTTTAACTGACATTCTTGGGTAATGTAGTAAATGTTTGCTGGTAGACTGGAGTCGGCACGTGACGAGTAGTAGTAGTTGCCACGGCCGTAGCGAGGGATATACTGGATGCAGTGTGCTGGGCGCAGAAATATTTTCTTGGATTGCTGAGCCGGAGAGACCCGGCCTAAACAAAGCCCTGCTCCAGCCGGCTCGTTCTCGAGGGTTCATGGCAGATCAGAGCGGTAAGTGTTCAACGTTAATGGAAAATGATTGGTGGATGAGTTATAGCTAAAAAAAACAGTAATATTTTATTGATCACGGAGAGATGACAGGATGATAGGCCGAGTTGACCTCCAGCCAGGATTTGACCTCCTTACCTTCCTATTGGGAGTCAAGTTCGCAACCAACATTGCCAACGTGCTGGAGATGAGGGATTCGGGATTAGGGGATTTACTCTCGGGGTCAGAGGTCATGGATGGAGGATGCCGAGCGGACCTTGGTGCGGTGTCGCTGGATCTCCTCGTCAGAAATCTTCCAGGGGCAGTTCTTCCTCATCTCCTCCAAGGCCAGCTCATCCAGGAAGCCATCGTTGAGCCGATACGGGGCTACGGTGTCCTCGAAGCGTTTCTGACTGTGCGGCACGAGTGTCATCGTCGTCATCCGTTCATTCATCCGATCATCAGTCATCATGAGTAAGTCTTTATCGTCATTTGTCATCAGTAGTCACCATCATCATCACCATACAAATACCGAAGTGAAATTCAGGGAAAGAAAACGTAACGGTCAACTTAAAAAGCAAAAGTGAGGGTGTACGGTTAGAACGACGACCTTCATAGTTTTTTCGACCCATCTGGATAGTTCCAACATTTTTGGGTGACCGATTGCCTCGGTGGCACAGCCATCGAGTGTGCAGGCGGTGCAACTGCACCTGGGCCCATGGGCCAGATGGGCCCAGGTGATGCACTATGAAGAGGCGGGGGGGGGGGCGGTGGGGGGATTGGACAGGAGGCCCCCTTCGCGACATCACTGCATTGGCCAAATAATTATAATTATTTTATACTGATATACCCAGTCTGTCAATGTAGATTTTGAACAATATACGTGCCGATGTTGTCAATATCTCGAGCGTTTTGCTCATTGGGGGGTCTCACAGTTTTTCCCTTTGTGTGATCTGGCAACATGCTGTTTGCGTGTATGTATGTTGAACTTCTTTCGTACCGTACATAGCCAACCGTGCTCAATCGGAGGTGTGTGTGGGGAGCGGTAGTGTCGTGGTTAGTGTACTGCGCTACGGACACAGCGAGCCGTGTTTGATTCCCGCTCACAGCCACCAACGCCAGCGATGATTATCTGAACCGGTCCTGGGCTTCCCCTAGGTCGACTCAGTCTCACAAATGAGTACCTGGTGCGGTGTGTAAACATCGCCACTGGGGAGACAAAAGCGGCCGGGCGTGGTGCTGATCACCCACCCCCTCGTGTGCCATGCCGGCCTTTATAGGTGCTCGCTAACGCGTCTGTAAAGGCTACATCGGGGGATCTTTCTCTTTGTGGTGAATGCATCTGCGATCGCTGGGCGCTGCTCACTGTTCTGGCCGGGGTCGCTGGTTGATGTCGAGAAGGACGTTCACCTCGTGGAAGTTGAGCCGGAACTGGTTCAGCAGTTGGACCATGCTACAACAGGGACACGCGGGCACAGAGAGAGAGAGACATGGGGAGAGACGCACCAACAACACAGAGAAAATGAGCATCACTAGCTCAAAATACTGTAATTATGGTTGAGAAAAATTGCCCATTTTTTATATATTTTTGTTGTATGTTGAACTTCTTTCGTACCGTGCATAACCACCAGTACTAATCGGAAGTGTGGGACATAACACAAAAAACTAAACTATTGGATAAAGGCCTTTGCATACTGTAGCGTCATGGGGCGGGGGGGGGGGCGGTGGTTGTTTGACCATACTTCACCACACTGCTCAGTGCGGTTGGCCAAGGCGGGGAGCACAGGTGTCAGAGCATCGAAAGTCAGCGCAGCAAATTGGGATTTTTTTCATGCGCTCCAAATCTGCCGATATCCCCCGTAGCCGCCCGGCGGCCCACGCCACCTCTGCCGCATGCACCGTGACCCGACCACAGCAGCGTTCGCCTCCCGCCCTGTGAGGATTGGCGAGGTTGGATACATTCCGGTGGATTTGGTCAGCGTCTCCACATAGCCCAGCGGAAGGAGCAGGCAAGGACCGGTGCTCGAGCTTGCGCGACGTAAGAGACTCCCACTCGAGGTCAAACCGAGCGAAGGAAATTGAGGGTCCGGTCGTGGTGCGGCCGCCGGGAACCCACACGCGGCGCTCCTCCTCCACGCGGTTGATCTGGCCTCCGATGAAGACCCGCAGCTTGCAGTTCCGCCACCTCTTCTTCCTCGTCAGCAGGTACGGGATGAGGAGGGACAGTCCTGCAGCCCGTCGAGCAGAGCACACGGTCAAACTGTCCGGCGCCACCTATGCCACCGGCAATCGTTGTTGCAGGGTGATCCAGCACCGATCAGTTCACCGACTTTATTGGGTGAAGGCGCAGCCTTTGCAACTGCTGGCAGAAGGACATCCCGCTAAACACAGCTCTATAGATCCATAATACAGGGTTTTTTTGGGGTTAGATCAGGTAAATATATAAATGTGTCGTTAAACCCGCCACCACCCGACACAGCCAATTAGTAAGGTTTGTCACGTAAACAGATTGTGCCAGTTCGTTACTAGTACAGCACACCGGTGTGTCGGAGAGCAAAGCCACACCATTTACAATCTGAGTACGACGTTTCGTATTGGTGAAACGAGCTTGATGAAGCTATCTCGGTGAAACATCATTTGTGTCGCCGCTTGCATTTGGTTCACATCAGCCTCCCCCCTCCACGCGTCTCTCTCGCGGGGATGCTGCGGATCGCGCTGCGCCGGTACCTCCGTCGTCGAAGAGCCAGTAGATGTCGACGTACTTCTTCCCCTGGGAGCCCTGGAAGCTGCTGGGCGTTTGGGCGTCTGTGATTGCGGCCTCTGGGTCGGCTGTTCCCATGGACAGAGCGACGGGAGGCGTTAATGGGGGGCGGCGTGCAGACTGCAAAGAGGGTTAAACTTTTCTCGGTTGAAATTCTTTTTTTACATCACCAGGTAATGCCCACTGAGCTATGTAGCTCTTTTTTTCAGAAGCGACCTGGCCACAAATGATAGCTCGCCAAAGTGGCTTATCGCGTGGAAATTTAAGGCAGCCAGATACTCTCAAACGCCCGTTTATACACGTGGAGGAAAAAGAAACCGGAGGACCCAGAGAAAAATCCACGCGACCACGGAGAGATAGACACGCAAACTCCAAATATACAACAGGCTTCAGGATCGGAATCGAACCCACGATCTCCTGTACACCAGGCGAGGTAGTTAACATCTCCTAGCCACTGCAGCACCCATCATCTTGCTCACGTTGATGGTGGATCACCCGGCTGCCCCGATTTGGTCGCGAGATCTCGGTGCCTTGCTGTTCAGAGCTCGTGGTTGGGTTCACGACCGGGTGAGCGCTCATCATCCTGATTGTGATCGGCCATGATCAATTCACTGCTGGATGAAGGTCTCCGCAAGTTATTGCTGAGCGGCGATAAGGTGACATTTGTGGAAAGGGATCGAAAGTTGATTAGAACTGTGGACGCCACAGTTCTAATGTGGACACCACAGTTCTAATGAGCCTCACTCGCTGTGCATTAATTGCAATGTGAATTCCTACGACACCCAAACATCGTCATGATCATCATCGTTATGTTTTTCGTAAAATGATGCATTGATTCACTAATATCGATTCTGAAGCTCATGAAACATGGTTATAGTTGCACGTGTTTTTAGATGTGTATATGCTGTATCCAATGGGGTCCATGTCACCCCTCCACTGCGATGCGAAATTATAAATAACATCGAATCAATCTTGACCGTGAATTTTGACAATTCATTGCTTCTTCCTGGAGGTTGTATAAATCCAAATATAAAAGCATCGTCATCAACATCATCGGCAACAATCACGATCGTTATTGCCGAATTATTATTATTATTTCTGAACAAATACGGCTACTTTTTTTTCTCTTTTCGGCCACATGAGCGTCGAGCGACATCTCAAGCGGTCCCGAGGCGCCCTCTTCCCCGAGCCGTGCACTGGCCGGCGAAGCACGGCTGAAGTACCGAGCGCAGCGTGTGCATTGACTGAAGAGCGTGCGACCACAACGACGACGGTGCCTTCTGGGGGGCCGTGAGTCCCGTGAGTGCGAGCCACGCCACCTGCGCCGCTGCCGTCCCCGTTGGTGTGCGAGTGTCCGTTTTCCGTCCCGTTAAACGCCGGGTTGACTGCACGCACGCACAGAGGACAAAGAATCCCTCCATCCCTCCGAATGGCTTCTGCAGAAGAGTCCCGGTTGCCCGATTCACCAGGGGGGGGGGAGTGGGTGGAACCGAAGGTGTTATGATATCTCTAACTCTGCCCTTAAATGTCAACGGACAAGGTTAGGGCCACAGCTGTACGTTGTGGCTCTAACCGTGAAAAACGAGTCGGCGAGCACAAACACGGGCTTGGCAAGAGCCGCAGAGGTTCTCCCCACCCAAACAGGCCGAGGAGTCGGCGCTAAGCACCTTGAAAGGCGCTGGGGGCGTCAACTTTACGCCGGCCCTCAATGCCGGCAGGACACGCGCACGCAGTGGAGGGGGGGGGGGTGGCCGAGTTGCACCGTCGCGGCGGGGGGGCAGACCGCTGGGGTGCGTCGAGAAGGAGAGGCAGGAAGGGAGAACGTGGAGCCGTCGACAAGAGGCTTTAGTGGGTCTCACCTCGCGCCTGCGCGGATTGGGACACGTCCAGTCCCTCCTTCACCCTCAGGATGCAAACCCCGAAGTTTAAGTCGAAGGCGTCACTGCGGAACACAGGGAGAGGGGATGGACAGGGGGGGGGGGAAGAGCCGCTGTGGGTGGTGAGGCTCGCGTTGACGGGAAAGCGTGGACCCGATCCCCTCTCTCCGAGCGGTGACAAACGCGCACGGGGCGTTGCGTGTCCGCGGCACCTACTGGACTATGTTGATGTAATCCTCCATCTGCTGAGGGTGCTTGGAGCTCCAGTTCTTCTTGAAGCCCATCACCAGGACGTCCGGCTTGAACTTTCCAAGTCCGGCGGCCTGCCGCGCCAGCCACGAGGATATTTCACTCATGGTGCGGAGTTTGTGGGGGGGGGGGGGGGGGGGGGCACGGGGGAGGGGGCAACGGCCCACCCAAACTGGACACATTTATTAATTTATTTTTAGTAGTCTACAAATAAGATTAGAAATTAATTTCCTTGTTGCACCTGCGATTCCTAATGATGAGGGACAAAGCGAACCTCTGCCCCCTGCAAACTACAGAAGTCGAACTCCGCCGACCATCTCACTGCAACACCTTTGGCCTGGTCTCAAATTGAGCGAGATTCCGTCACAATCGCCAACATTTTGACGTCTACGAAATCCATGACTTTGTAAGACATCATCATCATCGCCACTCTTCCCCGCACTCCCCCCATCTTGGTATCATAGCCACTAGAAGTGAGAACGCAAGCGAGACGCGAGAGGCTTCTGGCTTTCCGAACGAACACATTACATAAGGTCGCACTCGTCACACACAAACTGCTCGCCACAAATGAACCACAGCAACTTGCTGATTTCATCAAGGAGCATAAATCATCACCCAAACTCCGGACATCCTCGCAGCAGCCTTTGGCTAGCCATCGAACAAAGACGGTCACTGCATGGCGTGCTTCTGCGGCCGTCTGGAACGCTCTTCCGTTCGATATTAGGAAACCACTGGCGCTATGCACTCTTAAATCATCTATATTGAAAACTCATTTATTGAGAACTGCTTTTTGTGTGGAGCACCATACGTAGCCAACCGTGCTAATCGGAGGTGCAGGGGAAGGACAACAAACTAAACACAAAAAGTTTTCAATCTCGATGATGATTTAAAAGTAAATAGATCCCAGTGGCTCCCTAATATCGGAAGGAAGAGCGTTCCAGACAGCCACAGAAGCGCACCTGAAAGCGCAGCGCGATGCGGTACGGAGGGGGGATCGACAAAATCGGCGCAGGAAACTCGATGGACCGTTGCGTCGCGCCACCGTGGGAGACGTCGACGGCTTGCGGGGGAGACGCCTTCGTCCGGCAGTGGACAGATCACGGACAACGATGAAGTGAGCCCTCGGGGTTTAGAGCGCCCGCCCGGTGGGGTGCAGTCGCTCGTACCTGCAGCATCATCTGGGTGCCGGTGCGCAGGTTGCTGGCGGCCACGGTGTGGTAGAAGGCGTGCATCTTGCGCTTGGCCATCCACCGCACCTGGCCCTCCACGCTCGCCTCCTTCTGCTTTAGGCCGCCGGGGCTCTGTGGGGGTCAGCGGCGGAGCAGCGGGGTTATGTACGTGCGTGTGTCGAGCGGTTATGTACGTGCGTGTGTCGAGCGGTTATGTACGTGCGTGCGTCGAGCTTCTCTTCGCACCGTACACAGCCGACCATGCCGATCGGAGGCGCGGTTCGCTACGAACCGGGCCGACCCCCCCGAGTTCGATTACTGCTCGCGGCCACCAACACCGGTGACGATTATCTGAACCGGTCCTGGGTCTTGCCGAGGCCCACTCAGCCTCAAATGAGTACCTGGTGCGATGTGTAAAACGTCACCACTGGGGAGACGAAGGCGGCCGGGCGTGGTGCTGGTCACCCACCCCCCTCGTGTGCCGTTCCGGCCTTGATAGGTGCTACTCGCTAACAGCACTTGGCCCGACAGTCTGTTAAGGCTACACAGGGGATCTTTGTCTTTGTAGCGGAGTGTGGGGACGTGGATCCGGGCCGTGCTACTGATCCACTCGCTCTCCCGCTGCCGAGTCACCTCGGGAGCTGTACGTGTGCACGCGGCACACGGGGGGGGGGGGGGGGGGCCTTTTTGTCACTCCACTGCTGGATGAGGGCCTCCCCCACACCACCAGGGGGCTCATGGGGTTTTATTTTACCGTGCTTCACCGTGCTGGTCGGTGTAGTTTCGCGAAGGCGGGAGAATATATAACAATTTTTATTATTTTTACTTTACCAGCTAAGGCCCACCGAGCTATGTAGTTCTTTCTCAGACGCGACCTGGCCACAAATGACGGCTCAACGAAGTTGCTTACCACGTGGACATTTATAGCAGCCAAATACTCTGAACGTGTGATGTTGATTCTAAATGCGGAGGGAAAAACCGTAGGATCCGGATAAAAATCCACGTGACCACCAGGAGAGAGAGAGAGAGAGACGCAAACTCCAAATATACAACAAGCGTCAAGGGATCTGGATCGGGATCGAACCCACGACCTCCTGTATATCAGGCGAGGTGGTTAACATCTCCTAGCCACCGTGGCACCTTAGATAGTACTGCACACGTTGCCCACACAGTTCAGTGCTGTACTCCATAACGCGGCGTTCTTCACTCATTTTCAGAGGGTCACTTTCGCCGATCAAACATCGTCAGTGTGCAAGGGCTGCCACGTCAATTTGAAACCATTGGGGGTTTGACAGCAGCAGCTCGATAATGGCAGGGGGGCTGTTTTCACCATTTGTGCATTTCGATTTAAAGCTTTCGTGACTGCAGGGATTCATCTTCTTGGTTCTTTCGGTAAAGTCACGTAGAAGGGAAATAATAAAATAATAAAAATAAAACATAATAATATAATTGTCACGACGTTTTGGCCACAACGCAAGCAGCCGTCCTCAGGTGAAGAACAGGTCTGTCGAGAAGACAGCGTTTGATTAAGTTTTATTTTTATTATTTTATTATTTCCCTTCTACGTGACTTTACCAAAAGAACCAAGAAGATGACATTTGTGCATTCTCAGGGGGTCGCAGCAAAGGCCACCATGGGTCGCCAGTGACCCGCGGGGCCTTGCAATGACACCGCTCTCTAGCGATTTATTTCGCTGCTACTGCCCTCCGCTGGCCGCCACGGTAGCCCTGCAAAGCAGCCTATAATACCTGCCTTTGTCTGCGCAGTTGCTCGATTGCTTATTTAAATGCTCGCACAGCTGACGGCTCCGCGCGCGCTCACCGACACCACGTTCCCGCACAGCATGAGGCTGTGCTTCTTCGTGAAGGTCCCGACGAAGTCCACGAGGGCCGGCCGCGAGTTGGGGGGCCCGGTCAGCACCAGACACTGCGGCCTGCGGCAAGGGCAGAGAATCGTGCGTCAGCCAGTCTCTATCTGCTGCTGTTGCTGCTGCTGCTGGTTAGGCGTAGAGGCCCAGTGGCGTGCGGTGGCTTCAGGCCTGGTAGGTGGCGACACGCACGTGGCATCAAGGGTTGTCCCTTCGCAATGCAAGGGGGTTGCGGGGGATGATTCCACCGTACTGCACCACGTTGGCCGGTGCGGGTTGATTTGGCCGCAGAAATTATTTCCCAAGCGGCATTATTTTTGCTGTTGTTGTTGTTGTCTTGAGATCAAAGGCAGACGTTGTGCAGTTCGCGAGAGACCACGAGACGAGGAGAGGGTCGATTGCCAAAGTAATTGATGGCTCCACCATGACCCGCATGGTTAAGGGACTGATGATGAGGATGATGGCTCTATATGAATCTATAGATGATAAGAGAAGATAAGACGATGGTGATTTGGACGCTCAGTGTTTCCCACCACGGCTGTTCTAACCCAACCCCAGCACGAACACCCCCCGAACAGCGTACCGGTAGTTCTTGATGTGTTCCTCCACCTGGTTGAGGCCCACCGTGTAAGACAGCGCCATGTTGTAGGATCTGGCCTGGACCGACGAGCCCCAGTTCACGGCTGCCGGGAGGAGACAGCGGCGGTGGGAAACTGCACATCAGCTAACCCCGATGGAAACATACCGCTTATAACACAAGTCAAGCGCATCACCACAGCACCGATTCCATCAAAAAAAGGAGTGATGTTTGAATCATCTTCTTACTTCGTTCATTTAAATTCCTCATTCGTACGGTGAGTTCTCTCATTTTTAACTCTGCGAATATTTCGTTTGGGGATGTTTCGATGATTCTGTCTTGGTCTATAGAACCACAAGGCTGGGGAATGAAAACACAACTGGGAGTATTTGAGAGGTGGCTGGGTTTGGGTTCAGAGGTCAGAGCAATGAGCCGACGCTGCTGAGATCCCGCAAATCAGGCAGGCACCTCTGAATAAATAGGCGGCTGTGATGAAACGAAGCATTGATAGTCTCAGTCACCGCCACTTAGTGGCTTGTGTCAGGCTATGTGCACGTTGAGGCCACGTGAAGTGTCGAACGCCCCCGCCGGCAGGAGGCCACGGGGCAGACCCAGGTGCCATGGGTCGACTGACTGAGATGACTACTGGCCGATGCACCACCTGTGCCTCCTACAGTTGGCCCCGCTACGCACGCACACACACAAACGCGCGCAGATTGCCCGCGCCGCCACGGTCCCGCTCACCTGGCTTCTTGTAGATGACGTAGGCCAGGAGGAAGATGACAATCCCCACGACGATGAGCGCGGCCCACCAGGTGAGCAGGAACATGATGACGATGGAGATGATGGCGCCGAACAGCGATGCCCACTTGCTGTAGTAGCGGAACGACGGGCGCCAGCCTGACGACAGAAATCACTCACGCTCACGGCACGCAACAAGCACTCGTCGCAAGTGACCCCCGCGGCACCTTTGTGTTGCGTTGCGCATCTCACCGGGAGAGTTGGTGATGGAGGCGTGGAAGCAGGAGAAGTTGATGAGTGCGTATGAGGCCAGGAAGAAGTTGGAGATGATGGGGGCGATCGTGTTTAGCTCGGCTGTATGGGACACCCCCCGGCGGGCAGCGAACAGGGTGAGACGGGACACAACGTCACGCGTGCTCCGGCCATTCTCGCAGCAGCAACAGCAGCAGCAGCAACAGCAGCAGCAGCAACAGCAGCAGCAACAGCAGCAGCAGCAGCAACAGCAGTAGCAGCATCAGCAGCAGCAGCAACAGCAGCAGCAGCAGAAACAGCAGCAGCAGCAGCAAAAGCAGCAGCAGCATCAGCAGCAGCAACAGCAGCAGCAACAGCAGCAACAGCAGCAGCAACAGCAGCAGCAGCAACAACAACAGCAGCAGCAGCAGCAACAGCAGCAGTAGCAACGGCGGCTTTTGGCTGGCCCCATCGAACAAAGACGGGTCGCCGCGTCGCACGCTTTCAAATGCCCTTCTGCGGCCGTCTGGAACGCTCTTCCGATAGTAGGAAGCAACTGGAGCTATGGCACTTTTAAATCTCGATTAAAAACTAATTTCTTTAGAACTGCTGTTTGTATTTAGTTTGTTGTCCTTCCCCCGCACCTCAGATTTCCACTGTTGGCTACGTACGGTGCGAAAGAAGTTCAACATACATGCATACATCAACAGTCCTGATAACCTCATGAATACAGGTTTTCATTGCAGTATGCGGTAGCAGATGCGTTCTAAGAAAAGGGTGCACAAAGCGAAACACAGCACGCACACACAGCACACACAGCACACACAAACAGCACGCACACACAGCACACACAGCACACACACAGCATACACACAGCACACACACACAGCACACACAGCACGCACACACACACAGCACACACAGCACGCACAGCACGCACACACAGCACACACGCAATGTTCTCCCACGTCTGACCGCATGTAGAGTGAGTTAAAACCACGTAGAGCAACATTTGGGTAGACATATGTGAGCCGAATAGAGTAAGCGAAATCACACAAACCGAACGAACCCGCGTAGAGCGAGGGACACCTGTGCCGTGCACCCGGGGTATTGCCACCATGACTCGATCATCAACATGTGTCATTGCACACTGGAGGTGGGATTGTTCAGGGCTCCGTCACAGATGGTGACGCGACACAAACCTAATCTCATTGCCTCCGACCATTTGCACATTTGCAAATATTCCTCTCAGCGCTCGTTTGTGTCCGCAGGTTTTTTTTTTTGATCTATTTGACCAGTTTTCTGTAAGGTGAGTCCCTATTAGCAACAGAGCATCATGGTGAAATTAATTTGTATTGGATCATCTTTACCAGAGTTATCATGATCCCATAAGTTACCCACCAGACATTGCCAGATTATCAAAGTAGCCAAAGTAGCTACACATGCTACGGGACCCGCACTTCAAAGGGCCCCGCGCTAAATGCTTTCAAGCTATCAATTTCGGTTCAGTGATTCTGCACTTGCTCTATTACTATAGTACTATACCGCCTTCAACTTTTATGAACGACTTATTTGGCTGTATAGCAAATGAAACAATACAATTACTTTACTATGCAAGTAAAACATTTACGTGTTTTAATATTTCTGTGTTTTTATTTGTTTATTTAGGGCCCCTTCATAACATATGCTACAGGCCCCGCACTAGCTTAGTCCGGCACTGCCACCAGACAGACAGACGGACAGTGCTAATGCTTGAACCCTTTCGACGCCATTTGACGAGCCTTCGAAATTAACGCGCACGGTGTCTGCGGAGAGGAGGATTCACCGATGAGGATGAAGCCGACGGCGATGATGAAGGTGAGGATGTAGCCTGGGATGGGCTCGTTGTTCTTGCCATAGCCACGGCCAAACATCCCAATGCCCGGGTAGAGTTGATCCTTGCACAGGCACTGCAAGTGAGGGGAGGGTGGGGGGGGTGACATTGCCAACTATGAACCAACGGCACGGGCTCAGCTTCTGCAGCAGGAGAAATAAGTATAACCCGTAAAAACAACGTTTTTCACTATAAATCCTTTATATGCGTGGCAGCTAGAGTCCTCTCGTCCTCTGGCTTGAGATGGCTGCCACCTATGGGTCAGATGATTGCATTGCACCATTAAGCAATTGGTAATGAAATATAATATTTTTGTCCTAAAAAGTGTAAAATTTAGGAAAAAAAAATTCACGAACATTAATTGTCACGCACAATGAGTCTGTGTATAAAATGTCAGCTCGATTGGATCACGGGAAGTGGGTTAAAAAACGACCGAAAAATTTGCACGGTCGTAAGCAAGCAAGCGAACTTAATATAAAGGATTTAAAAACGACCCGCGCCTCCAGACCCGCGCGTTGGCTTGGCCTCGCGCGTGGCCCTGGCTCGCCTCGGATGCGCCGATGGAACACGGGGCATCGAAAGGTGCGCGTTGGCTGCCGACCGCCCATTTCCCGTTGCTCTTGCCTGGAACACTTTGGGAGCGCTGACGAGGCAGGCCAGCGCGGACGAGAGCGTCGCCCCGAATATCCCGGCTGTGATGAGCGGCGCGATCCCCGACACCAGGCCCATGGTCTGTGGGGCGCGCACGGGATCCACACGCACGCGCACAAACAAAGATCCCCGTGACAGACTGTTGGGGCAGGTGCTGTTAGCGGCGAGCAGCACCTATGAAGGCCGGCACGGCACACGAAGGGGGCTGCGTGGCCAGAACCTCGCCCGGCCGCCTTTGTCTCTACCCTAGTAGTTGATGATGACGCATCGCACCAGGTGCTCATTTGAGGCCGAGTCGACCTAGGGGAGGCCCGGGTCTGGTTCACATAAGGGTCACGTGAGCGGAGAATTGAACTCTGGGTAGCCGGGTTCGTAGCGCAGCGCGCGAACCCGCTACACTACCGCTCCCGACGAGCGCACATGCACACGCGCGCGTGCAGGGAATTGCAGCGATGCATCTTTACCTTAAATTTTTGTACTACAAATCAATCAAGGCCAACGGGATGGGATACAAACGGCGAAGACGCAGGTGGGAGAGTGAGTGTGCCCCAGGCTGCACCTGGCCGCCGGTCAGGGCCCCCCCCCCCCCACCCCGCACCTGGTAGTTGTTGATGAGTCCGTAGGGGCAGCTCTGCGCGAGGGTGCACTCCGTGAAGTTCCAGCCGTGGTCGCAGCCGAGACCCACGCAGGGCACCGGGGGCACCCCCTCCGGCAGCGTGTCGTTCACATTGCCCGACGCGTCGCGGATCACGCACGACGCTGCGCGAGGGGCGAAAGAAAAAAGAGACCACGCAAAGAACTCTTAGGTTTTTTCGGTAAAGTCACGTAGGTGAAAAAATAATAAAATGAAAAGTTAATAATGGAAATAAAATAAAATAATAAATCACGACGTTTCGGAGGCAACACAAGTCTCCGTCATCAGGTGCAGTCACGAGAGCTTCAAATCTAGAACCACACAAAGTGACGGTCGTTTCCTCTGTGCAGTTGGCGCGTCTCTCCCCGTCTCTCTATCTCTCTGTGTGCCCGCGTGTCCCTGGTGTTGCATGGTCACACTGCTGAGCCAGTTACGGCTCAACTTCCACGAGGTGCACGTCCTTCTGGACATCAAACAGCGCACCCGTCCCCCCGGCCAGAACAGTGAGCAGTGCCCAGCGATCGCAGATGCATTCACTATATGTAGCCTTTACAGACTGTTAGCGAGCAGCACCCATGAAGGCCAGCCTACCACGTCCACCCGGCCGCCTTTGTCTCCCCAGTGGGCGATGTTTACGCAGCGCACAAGGTAGTCATTTTAGGCGGAGTCGACCTAGGGGTTTGAGCGCAAGAGTCCGATTAATTTATGGCTCAACGGGACGTAAATCTACCTGCGTTCATTTTTTTTTCCTAGCGCCTTTACACAAGAAGATTGCCTCGGAACGCTTTACACAACAAGAAAAAATAAATACATTAAAAGAATAAGAGATTATAAATAGATACATCAACGAAAATAAAAAAACACCAATAATTTTGAGAGCGATGTGATAAGCGAAATACACGAGGAAGCAGTATGGCCTACTGAGCTGTACGGCTCTTTTTAAATCCTTTATATTAAGTTCGCGTGCTTGCTTGCTTGCTTAGGACCGTGCAAATCTTTCGGTCGTTTTTTAACCCACTTCCCGTGATCCAATCGAGCTGACATTTTCCACACAGACTCGTTGTGCCAGACAATTATTGTTCGTGAAAACAAATTCCCAAAATTTTACACTTTTTAGGCAAAAAAAATTATTTTACATATATTCAAATAGAACTAATTCATGGCTTTGGCTGAACGTCAGAGTGTAAGAGCCAAGAGCGTAACCCCTCCACAGCCGTGGCGGAGTAGCGCAGTTGGTAGCGCCCTCGCTTCCCATGCCAAAGGTCGCGGGATCGATCCCCGCGTCCTCCACAGGCGAATATATTTTTAAATCCTTTATATTAAGTTCGCTGCCACGCATATAAAGGATTTATAGTGAAAAACTTTGTTTTTACGGGTTATACTTATTCAAAACCCACGACCTCCTGTATACAAGGCGAGGTAGTTAACATCTCGCCACTGCGGCGACCCTGCACGTACGTGTGTTGAACTTCTTTCGCACCGTACGTAGCCAACCGTGCTAATCGGAGGTGCGGGGGATGGACAACAAACTAAACGCAACGAACTAAACACAAACAATTAGTGCCACGTTGTGGGGAAGCCAATGGTGCCAAAGTGACTCGGATTTGCAGGTGATGAGAGTTGACGTGGCGGTCAACAGCTTGTGGGGAAGAAGACAGTGACGTGAACGAGATGAGACACCTGGAGACGAGGGGTACGCGCATTAGCGGCCACGTGTACAGATGCCCCATCGTGACGTCGTAACATAAGAAGTAATGTGCCTGCCAGCACATTCCATTTTTACACTAACCTTGCTGTGGAACAATGACGCCGGTGTACGCCTGTGTGTGTGTGTGCACGCGCGTGTGTGTGTGTGTGCGTGTGCGCATCTCACCGATGGTTGCGGATATGACCAGGTAGGAGACGGTCGTCCAGAAGATGGACAGCATGGTCCCCTTAGGGATGGCGATGTTGGGCTCCTGAAAATCCACAATCGGGGTTCAATGTAACATACCTGTCAACTTTTGATTTAAAGCTTTCGTGACTGCAGTGATTCATATTCTTGGTTCTTTCGGTAAAGTCACGTAGAAGGGAAATAATAAAATAATATAAATATAAAAAACACAGCAAGAAAAAAAAAAAATTATTGCTGTGGATTTCACACCTGATGATGATTGCTTGTGTTGCAGTCGAAACGTCGTGAGAAATTGTATTGTTTTATATTTATATTATTTTATTATTTCCCTTCTACGTGACTTTACCGAAAGAACCAAGAATATGAATACCTGTCAACGCCGATGACCCCCTCCCCCAACCTTCTGTAGCCATACAGATTGTTAGGGTGAAGTGCCGTTAGCGATCACACACCTGTAAAACCCTGACCAGTGCCTACAGTATTGCAGACAAATTCAGACATTATTGGTCACCCCGTGCCCTTTCTTGCCCGCATTGAAACTGCAGTACGCCGTGTAGACCTAACAACTCAATTTCCCTGTGCAAGAATACGGGTAAAGCGTATGGGTTGACAAGAATGGAGTAACACCAGAGTAACACCAGTTGCCAATTACAACCACGGCCACAACTTCAAGCAGCAGAACAGTCTAAATTCTAATTCAGAGGCGAATGTGGAGTAATAATTAGAAATATTTATTTCAGTCGGAGACTTAGTCGAGTCAACGCCAATCCGGGACTGTCCTCGGGTCTTCGTCTGTGAATTTAATTGAGTTACTAAACTAAACAACTCTACTAACCAGGTAAAGCCCCACTATGAGCTCTTTTTTAAATCCTTTATATTAAGTTCGCTTGCTTGCTTAGGACCGTGCAAATCTTTCGGTCGTTTTTTAACCCACTTCCCGTGATCCAATCGAGCTCACATTTTGCACACAGACTCGTTGTGCGTGACAATGCATTTTCGTGAAAATTTTTTTCCAAAATTTTACACTGTTTAGGGTAAAAAATGTAAATATTTAATTACCAATTGTTTAATGCTGCCAGACAATCATCTGACCCATAGGTGGCAGCCATCTCAAGCCAGAGGACGAGAGGACTCTATCCGCCCCGATGCCACGCATATAAAGGATTTATAGTGAAAAACTTTGTTTTTACGGGTTAATTTTTCAGAGGTGACCTTGGCCACACGTGATGATATGCTCACGTAAGTAGGTGATATCATCATCATCGACATCACCACCACACGTGATAATTTATATTAAATCAAACACAACTGTCGGCAGTTGCAGAACATGCTTGCCAACAAGGACACTCAATTGATTTTGATAACTTGAAAGTGTCGTGTGAAACCAATTACTACTGGCCAAGACTAATTCGAGAATCCATTGAAACAGAGAAATATCAATAATTTTAACCGCTCTGACAGCTACAGGCTTAGTGCGGCCTGGAAGCGTATTATGAAGCAATACATCTTACAATTACAATTCCTTATAGAGAAAACACATACTAATGAACTGATTGAAAATCTATTATATGATTACAAAACCCACCCCCTCCTCTGCCTCTGAGCTCTGCACTTGATGGGGTGTGGCCTGGAAGTGTATTATGAAGCAATGCATCTTACAATTACAATTCCTTATAGAGTAAACACATACTAATGAACTGATTGTTAATCTATTATATAATTACAATACCCCCCCCTCCTCCGCCTCTGATCTCTGCACCTGATGGGTTCAGTCATGACGTCACCCTGCATCTCTATTTGAGACTGGAAGCACGTGGCTTGCTTCACTATTCTGGCAAATCGCCCGATGATGCTGGATGTAATTACCAGCGAAACGTCACGGGACAACTCAAATTGTGAATGTTGTGGATTTACTCTCCAACACACCGGTGGGCTGAAGTAGTAGCTAATTGGCGTTTTGTTTACGTGAGAAATCCGGTACTAATTGGCTGTGTCGGGTGTTGGAGGGCGACGATACATCTATACTTACGCGATCTAACCCAAAAAAAGCCTTTATTATCCCCTCGACTCGTTGACTCCAGCAGTGAAACATTCGATTCAAATCCCTTTGGTCATACAATCTTGGTGTGAGAGTGGCGTGCAATTCCCCCACCCCAATATTATCATCACTATTACTACGTCGGCCAATCATTGAACTCGGCTTATACTGGTAGGAACCTCCTGGTTCCACCAGCCCACAGGGGATTATTGTGTCCGTCCGTCCGTCGTGCATCCAAAAATGGGAGGGGTGGGGCTGGTTGGGGAGGGGCTGAGTGGGGAGGGGCTGGGTGGGGGTGGGGGTGGGAGGGGTGGGGCTGGGTGGGGTGGGGCTGGGTGGGAAGGGGCTGGTCACCCGGTGGTGCCCTTAAACGTTTAACCTACTCACGCCGGCTTGTGCCCGCCCTCACAGTCGGCCATATTTGCAGAATACACCACGCCGCCGTTGACCCTGGCCATTGACCGAGCAACCCAACGTTCCTACCAGCTCCCTCCGCAGGAATGTGTTCTTTTCTGTGTCTCTCGCGACGTAACTAAGTTTTCTCAGTTTGCATCTCCAGTCAGAATACTGCAGTAAAACGTCATCCCGTCACAGCGAGTTGTTCTTCGACGGTTAGCAGTCGTAAGTCGTCGTCACAGCCATCGTTGACGAAGAAAAATAAAAGCCCGCCCCCCCCCCCTTAATTGCCAAATTTTGTTGCCCCTAATTTCGATAACAAAACTGACACTGCGTCGGTGCATCCGTGCGTCCGTACATTTGTGCGTTCACACTTCCATGCGTTCATGTGTGCATCTGCGCGTTCATGCATCAGTGCAACCGTACATTTGTGCGTTCACGCTTTCATGCGTTCGTGTGTGCATCTGCGCGTTCATACATCCGTGCGTCCGTACATTTGTGCGTTCACACTTCCATGCATTCTTGTGTGCATCTGCGCGTTCATGCGTCCGTACATTTGTGCGTTCACACTTCCATGCGTTCTTGTGTGCATCTGCGCGTTCATGTATCCGTGCATCCGTACATTTGCGCGTCCATGCGTTCGTCCGTGCGCGTGTATCGAGTGCGGCACGCCGGAGTCCCGCCGAGACGGATCTCACCCTGAGGTCGCCGGAGATGTTTGCCCCCGCCAGGATCCCCGTGGCCGAGGGGAAGAAGATGGAGAACATGCCGAAGAAGGTGCCCTGCTCGCCCCTCCAGGCAGGCCCAATGTTCTGCGCAAAGATGTCGGCTGCGGAAGGGGCAGAAGGCGAACCGCGGTGGTGGCGTGAGACACGCAGCGCAAAAAGCGTCGGATGTCGTGCTCTTTGGTTCTTTCGGTAAAGTGACGTAGGTAGAAAATAAATAGATCATGACGTTTCGATCGCAACATAAGCAACCGTCATCAGGTGAGAGAGAGAGAAAACTTTCTCTCTCTCTCACCTGAAGATGGGAGAACGTTTTCTCTCTCTGACCTGAAGATGTTCCCCTGGAAATCCATATTCTCTTTGGTTCTTTCGGTAAAGTCACGTAGGTAGAAAATTTATAGATCACGACGTTTCGATCGCAACACAAGCAACCGTCATCAGGTGAGACAAACGCAGCAGGAGAACTGTTGACGTAGGATGTCGTTGCGTGCTTTTGTTGTCGCTGCTGATGCTGCTGCTGATGCTGCTGATGCTGCTGTTGCTGCTGATGCTGCTGCTGATGCTGATGCTGCCGCTCACGCACCGCCACGGATAACGGGGCGACCAACTGGCTAAACGGGACGGTGGTTGTCACAAATACAGAGAATCTCGACAAAAATAAAACTCCAATTGCATTTGTTTTTGGTCGCGAAGTTGCCGAGTCCACGGACTCACCGAGGTCTCGGAGCTCGCGGCGGCGTCACTGATTTACGAGAGGGCCCAGTTGCCACGTGGCCTTCGTGTTCACCGATGGGTCTAATCAATTTGTATTTGTTTTGGACAATGCGGTAACCCGCTCGCTCACACGAAACATCTGGCTTGCGATAAGGAGCTGGGAAGATATTGGTTAATAATTTGGAGAGAGAGAGAGAAAAAAAACTATGGAACGATGTGATTCACTGCAGCGAGTCGGGGTCGCTCATGAATGCAGGAATTCGTTAGTTTGCCAACGTTGTGGAGAATGGTAGCACCTCGAGTGACTACACGGCTGACATTAACCCACTGGATACGACAAATACCAAACATTAATTTCTAATACACAGTTATTAGGCGAATCATTACACTCCTAACCAGTACTAACGCTGCGTGATTGAGCCACCGGTAATTTGACCATTTGACATCGGCCCTGTCGTGCAATGTTGCCTTTTATTGTGATTCATTGAGTGGCGCGCGCGCGCGTGTGAGAGCGTGTGTGCTGAAGGTTACAAATTACATCTGTAGTTGTAGAACCCCTTGGACTGCTTCTCCTTGGTGGAGGGAATGACGGTGCCCACCAGGTAGTTTGCGAAGGAAATCATGATCACGATGAAGAACACCACCTGGGCCTGCAGAGACGAGAGGCGCAAGTGTTAGCGGGTTCACCATCTCTTCCCCCCGCCCAAAATATATATTTATGCACCCGACACACCACATGGCAGAGGTGTGGACTCGAGTCATGTGACTTGGACTCGAGTCAGACTCGAGTCATGAATTTGATGACTTGAGACTCGACTTGGACTTGCATAACAATGACTTTGTCCCACCTCTGAGGTGTGGACTCGAGTCATGTGACTTGGACTCGAGTCAGACTCGAGTCATGAATTTGATGACTTGAGACTCGACTTGGACTTGCATAACAATGACTTTGTCCCACCTCTGCCACATGGAGTATCCGTCCTGATGTGGCTGTGGCGACACCGCTCGTCACGTGCCACCCAACGCAGCATTTTACCGGCGACCCGCAAAAAATCTTCGGCGAGAAATGAACCCCCCCCCCCCACCTCCGGTCGCACCTCGAATGAGACGTGATCCATCACAAATCGACTGGTACCTATGAGCACAATACTCGATAAGGAAGTGATGACGACGACGGTGATGATGATGCTGATGGTGAAGAGGAGGAGGAGGTGGATGCCAGTGATAGGAGGAGATGCTTCAAACACTCGTCACCTTGGCCTCCCACTCCATGCCGGCGAGCGAGATGCCCAGCAGGATGGTGACGGTGATGACGCCGATGATGCGGATGTCGTTGGTCGGGTCCACGATGGTGCTGCCCGTCTCCTGCGTGAGACATCCACTCGGCGTTTACCGTGACCCCGGCCGGTGACCCCATGGCTCACCGACGAACATGGTGGGCTACGTGCGGTGCGAAAGAAGTTCAACGCACTGGCCCTGGATGTTGACAACTTGCTGAACCCTCCTGCCGACAGAGCCTCGGGTGCAACAAGGAACAGCTGCTCGTGATGATGAATGATTAATAAATAAAATAATAATATCATCTAAGTTTAACACGTAGCAGGCGTTCGCGACCAATATTATTGGATTAGATTGCGTAATTCTAGATTTTAAGCTTTCGTGACTGCAAGGATTCATACTCTTAGTTCTTTCGGTAAAGTCACGTAGGTAAAAAATGAAATTATTGTTTATTAATTTAAATTTCATTTTTTACCTACGTGACTTTAAAGAAGAACTAAGAGTATAGATTGCGTAAGTGTAAATGTTGTGTCGTAACCCTCCACCACCCGACACAGCCAATTCGTGACTACTTCAGCCCACCGGCGCGTTGGAGAATAAATCCACAACATTTACAATTTATGAAAAATATAATCTCATTTTATAGTCATGGAGCACCTTGACTGGAGGCGCTTGACGTAGTTTTAAAACGCGTTGACGGAACATTGCAGATGGCAGGTGGGGGCATGCGAAGATTGAGTGGTGACCGCGATCGTGGATGTGCTTGGCGATCATGAAAGGGCCGGGTGAGGAGTGGAGGGGTGAGGAGTGGAGGGGTGAGGAGTGGAGGGGTGAGGAGTGGAGGGGTGAGGAGTGGAGGGGTGAGGAGTGGAGGGGTGAGGAGTGGAGGGGTGAGGAGTGGAGGGGTGAGGAGTGGAGGGGTGAGGAAAGAGGTGGGGCCATGGAGAAGAGGTTGAGGCTTGAGGAGAGGAACGAAAGGAGGTTAAGAGGCAGCGTTGAGTCTGAGTTGATACTCTTAGGTTTTTTCGGTAAAGTCACATAGGTAATTAATAAAAATAATAGAAATAATAATAGAAATTAAATAATTATTATTTATATTTTTATTTTATATTTTACCTACGTGACTTTACCGAAAGAACCTAAGAGTATGAATCCTTGCAGTCACGAAAGCTTCAAATCTAAAGTCTGGGTTGAGTTTGTGACGAGGTGAGTTTGCGACGAGGTGAGTTTGTGACGAGGTGAGTTTGCGACGAGGTGAGTTGAGTTTGTGACGAGGTGAGTTTGTGACGAGGTGAGTTGAGTTTGTGACGAGGTGAGTTTGTGACGAGGTGAGGTGCGAAAGAAGTTCAACGCACTGGCCCTGGATGTTGACAACTTGCTGAACCCTCCTGCCGACAGAGCCTCGGGTGCAACAAGGAACAGCTGCTCGTGATGATGAATGATTAATAAATAAAATAATAATATCATCTAAGTTTAACACGTAGCAGGCGTTCGCGACCAATATTATTGGATTAGATTGCGTAATTCTAGATTTTAAGCTTTCGTGACTGCAAGGATTCATACTCTTAGTTCTTTCGGTAAAGTCACGTAGGTAAAAAATGAAATTATTGTTTATTAATTTAAATTTCATTTTTTACCTACGTGACTTTAAAGAAGAACTAAGAGTATAGATTGCGTAAGTGTAAATGTTGTGTCGTAACCCTCCACCACCCGACACAGCCAATTCGTGACTACTTCAGCCCACCGGCGCATTGGAGAATAAATCCACAACATTTACAATTTATGAAAAATATAATCTCATTTTATAGTCATGGAGCACCTTGACTGGAGGCGCTTGACGTAGTTTTAAAACGCGTTGACGGAACATTGCAGATGGCAGGTGGGGGCATGCGAAGATTGAGTGGTGACCGCGATCGTGGATGTGCTTGGCGATCATGAAAGGGCCGGGTGAGGAGTGGAGGGGTGAGGAGTGGAGGGGTGAGGAGTGGAGGGGTGAGGAGTGGAGGGGTGAGTAGTGGAGGGGTGAGGAGTGGAGGGGTGAGGAGTGGAGGGGTGAGGAGTGGAGGGGTGAGGAGTGGAGGGGTGAGGAAAGAGGTGGGGCCATGGGGAAGTGGTTGAGGTTTGAGGAGAGGAACGGAAGGAGGTTAAGAGGCAGCGTTGAGTCTGAGTTGATACTCTTAGGTTTTTTCGGTAAAGTCACATAGGTAATTAATAAAAATAATAGAAATAATAATAGAAATTAAATAATTATTATTTATATTTTTATTTTATATTTTACCTACGTGACTTTACCGAAAGAACCTAAGAGTATGAATCCTTGCAGTCACGAAAGCTTCAAATCTAAAGTCTGGGTTGAGTTTGTGACGAGGTGAGTTTGCGACGAGGTGAGTTTGTGACGAGGTGAGTTTGCGACGAGGTGAGTTGAGTTTGTGACGAGGTGAGTTTGTGACGAGGTGAGTTGAGTTTGTGACGAGGTGAGTTTGTGACGAGGTGAGGTGCTGCCGCACTCACGATGAGGAGGTCGCGCACCGTCTCGGCGAATCCCACGGTGTGCATGGCCACGGCCACGGCGTTGGCGAAGGCGAAGATGAGGCCAATGGAGCCGCCCAGCTCGGGGCCCAGGCTGCGCGAGATGAGGAAGTAGGTGCCGCCTGCACACACGCATACATACACACGCGCACACACATACACACATATACACACACGCACACACGCACATACATACACACACATACACACGCGCACACACACACACAAACGCGCGCACACGCGCACACACGCACATACATACACATACAGACACGCACACACACGCACACACGCACACGCGCACACACACGCACGTACACACACACACACACACGCGCACACACACATACACACACGCACGCACACGCGCGTACACACACGCGCACACACTCACACACACACAAACGCGCGCACACGCGCACACACGCACATACATACACATACACACACGCACACACACACTCACACGCACACGCACGCGCGCGTGCTAATCGGAGGTGCGGGAAACATCTCGAGCTGACGGGAGAGAAAAGAGGAGCGAGAAGAGGATGTCGATGATGACGATGTCGATGATGACGATGTCGACGATGATGACGATGTCGATGATGACGATGTAGATGATGACGATGTCGATGATGATGACGATGTCTATTATGACGATGATGACGATGTAGACGATGACGATGTCGACGATGTAGATGATGACGATGTCGATGATGATGACGATGTCTATTATGACGATGATGACGATGTAGACGATGACGATGTAGATGATGACGATGTCGACGATGTAGATGATGACGATGTCGATGATGATGACGATGTCGATGATGATGACGATGTCGACGATATAGATGATGACGATGTCGATGATGATGACGATGTCTATTATGACGATGATGACGATGTCGATGATGACGAATGATGACGATGCAGACGATGACGATGTAGATGATGACGATGTCTATTATGACGACAACAAGAACGACGACGATGGTTGTGGGCACGTGTCTCACCCGACTTGACCTTCCCATTGGTGGAGATGGCGGAGATGGAGAGTCCCGTGATGCTCGTCACGGTCACGGACATGAGGATGATGAGCCACGTGAGCGCTAAACACGCGCGCCAGACACACAAAGGCAAATGTCCCCCGTGTAGCCTCGACAGACTGTTGGGGCAAGTGCTGTTAGCGAGCAGCAGCACCTATGAAGGCCGGCACGGCACACTAGTGGGGTGGGTGACCAACACCACGCCCGGCCGCCTTTGTCTCCCAAGTGACGATTTTACACATCGCACCAAGTACTCATTTGAGGCTGAGTCGACCTAGGGGAGGCCCAGGACCGGTTCAGATAATCGTCACTACACCACCGCTCTCACCACGTGCACGCATACGTGAAGGTTGTTGACGTGCTGCGTGTAACGGGCGTATAAACACTCACAGGTACTTTAGAAAATGTCAGGTTGTTGTTGCTTTACACTCGTGATCTCACCCCCTGTATTTATAACAATAATAAATGCCCTTAATTAAGGAAGCCTCACAGTTCTATGACTCCTGACAGAGAGTCTTAAGCGTCAGCGAGTCTTAAAGACACGTTTTGCAATCGGATCCTGCATTGGTATGTTTTTTGACAAACATTTATTTTAGACTTTTTTTTATTTCACCAGGTAAGGGCCCACTGAGATTTTTGGCTTTTTTTTTCAGAAGCAACCAGGCCACAAATGATAGCTCAACGAAGTGGATTATTACGTGGACATTTGTAGCAGTCGAATACTCGTGTTTCTAAATGTGGAGGGAAAAACAGGAAGACCCGGAGAAAATCCACGCGACCACGTGGAGAGAGAGAGACACGCAAACTCCAAATACACAGCAGGCGTCAAGGTCGGGATCGAACCCATGACCTCCTGCATACCAGACGAGGGAGTGTCTGGACAAAGCTCTATGCATGCGAGTGGATAACACTCAAAAGTACCACACAGATAGATTCCACAATCCATTGCTGTACTTTCACCTCCTGGCCAATTCGCAACCGGCTCGTCTTCTCATGTAGTCTCATAACACGTGCCACGAACTAAACGCGTAACTGCTTAATAATGTATTCGATCAAAGGCATCGAGGAAATTCCACGACGTGTCTTGCTAAATATATTCCGGCTTAACTGCCTTGTCTAACCCGAGAAGCAGTGCCGCATTAAGCTAATGCGGGGCCTGTAGCATCTGTTATAATGGGGCCCTAAAAAAAAAACACGTAAATATCAAAACACAATTTTTGTACTTGCATAGTAAAGTAATTGTTTTTTTTTATTTGCGATACAGTCAGATAATACGATAGATCGCTAACGTTAAACACCCAGTCGTTCGTAAAAGTTGAAGGCGGTATAGTACTATAGTAATAGAGCAAGTGCAGAATCACTGAATCTGAATTGATAACTTGAAAGTGCGGGGCCCGTAACATGTGTAGCTAATACATATGTAGCTACTTGTGCTACTAGGATCATCCGACACGTGAATCCAAATCAGTTCACACGGTGCAGGCGATGAGGCGAGCTCTTACAGATCAACTCTATCAGGGCGTGCGTGCGCGTGTCTCTGGCCTTAACGTGCACATAGCCTGGCACGGGCGCCGTGGTTACGTTGTTCAGTCACTTCAGTTCAAGTTATTTGGAATCACCCCGTGAGCCGAGAAGCTCTTAGATCAAGTTCCAGAAACAACAACAACAACAAAAATTAACCCGTAAAAACAAAGTTTTTCACTATAAATCCTTTATATGCGTGACGGCTAGAGTCCTCTCGTCCTCTGGCTTGAGATGGCTGCCACCTATGGGTCAGATGATTGCCTGCCACCATTAAGCAATTGGTAATTAAATATAAAAAAAAAATCCTAAAAAGTGTAAAATTTTGGAAAAATATTTTCACGAAAATAAATTGTCACGCACAACGAGTCTGTGTGCAAAATGTCAGCTCAATTGGATCACGGGAAGTGGGTTAAAAAACGACCGAAATATTTGCACGGTCGTAAGCGCGCAAGCAAGCAAGCAAGTGAACTTAATATGAAGGATTTAAAAACACCGCTTGACGAGGTGATTGCTCACAGCAATTCTCCCCCAAGCAGTCTGCGTTAAAGGCCATGTGGGGGGTGGGGAGGGGGGCATATCTGTCGTTGTGTCCCGTGCGTCGTGAGATGCCTTACCGATGCCGGCCTGCGCCGTGATCCAGGGCAGCCGGAGATAGAGAATGACTCCCCAGATGTTGAGCATGCATCGGATCTGCAAGCGCACGTGGCGATGACGCTTCGTTAGCCCGCTGCTGCGCAAGACAATGCATGTTGCCGACACAGGCTGGCGGGGGCAAGTGCTGATGATGATCACCTCGTAAAGGCCGATTATTGTCGCGTGGCCGGGTACATACCCGTCCGCCTTTGTCTCCCCGGCACTCGTGTTTACGCACCGCGCCGTGTAGTAATTATGGGCTCCGGGAAGCACAGGAATGGTTCACATCTATCACTCGCCGCTGATGCTTGTCAGCCTTGGGGCTGGGACATTGAACAACGCTCACAGCCAACACCGGTGACGACTATCTCAACCGGTCATGGGCCTCTGCTAGGTCGACTCAGCCTTAAATGAGCACCTTGTGCGGTGTGTAAACATCGCCACCGGGGAGACAAACGCGGCCGGGGCGTGGTGCTGGCCACCCACCCCCTCGTGTGCCGTCCCGGCCTTCACAGGTGCTGCTCGCTAACAGCACTTGCCCCTACAGTCTGTTAAGGCCATACGGGGGATCTGTGTCTTTTTTGGTGGTTGTTGTGCTGTTGATGGTTTTGGTGGTGGCGTTTGTGGTTGTAGTGGTGGTTTTGGTGTTTCTGGTTGTGTTGGTGGTGGTGCTTGTGGTTGTGTTGGTGGTTGTGCTGGTGGTTGTGGTGGTGGCGTTTGTGGTGGTTGTAGTGGTGGCGTTTGTGGTTGTAGTGATGCTTTTGGTGTTTGTGTTGGTTGTGGTGGTGGTGTTTGTGGTGGTGGCGTTTGTGGTGGTGGTTGTGGTGGTGGTGTTTGTGTTGCTGGTCGTAAATCCCAACAACGTGGGAGCCTCACCATGACGCCCTTGACCCAGCCGAAGCGAATGAGCTCGGGATCCGGTGCCGTTTCATCGGCGTCCCCATCCTCTCCCCCAGCGGCTCCCTTCTCTCCCCCAGCGGATCCCTCCTCGGGGGACTCCAGCGGTGACGGCGGCAACTGTGGGGGGGGGGGCAGGGGGGGGGCAGGGGGGGGCAGGGGGGGCATGACCCCCTCTCTCTTGAGACCCACGTTGCCACTTGAGTTGGCAATGCACCCCGGGCCATCTCAGCCGCTCATTCCAGGGTTCAAACCCACGTGGCTGTGTCAGCCACGTGTGTATTCGGCACAGCAGTCAAACAGCGAGGCATCGCACATCTCCCGTTGACAGCCCTGGGCCAGGAGTGGAAAGTCCACGTTCCTATGGGCGGGGGCGAGTATGCGATGCGCATAGGACAAGCACGGTACATGCGTACACCTCCCCCCTCCCATTGAACAAAGAAAACTGAACAAGAGCTAAAGGGTGCACGAGAATCAGACAAAAAAAGAATCAATCAGAGCACGTGGTTATATTGAAGGGATCCGATGAGCTCTACTGCTCTTTTTCACAGACGGCCAAACACATGGGTCAGATACATAAATGGAAATCACGGATCAAAATGACTCTTACTGGAGGTACGAGGGCTTGGGTAGGACACACTGTGAGAATCTCAACTGCCAGTGGGCAAGACCGGTGGATGTAATGGCAGCCAAAGGAGAGAACGCGCAGGCGAGAGGACGACCACAGAGGAGAGGCAGCGATGAGATGAGCTCGCGGGTAAGAGAGTGTGTCTCGCGATGCTTCGTGGCATCGCGAGACGGCGAGGGATGGCTACGGTGAGTGTGGGTGGGTAGCCATTCATCTCTCATCATCTATCAGATGTCGAGCGAACGCGGAAAAAAATAATAATTTATGCATCGTGATGGTTGTTGGTCGTGAAAAACCGACGCGTAAATTTTGCACAGTTTGGTTTAAAAGACGTGCGCCTGGAATTGAATGTAGAAGTGGCACTTTGGGAGTTTTGTCAGCGTGGGTTTGGAGTTCCAAAGCGCACACCAGTGCCGTGGCAGGGTGCGCATTTTACTCGGATCTGGCGCGGGGAGTTTCCGCAGCAGCTACACACAGACACACAGACAGACAGACACACAGACACCACAGACAACACTGCCGCCTGAACATTCGCAGTAGGATCGTCCTGTATATTCACGATAAATCATCGTTACATCGGAGACCTGGGGGGCAAGGCACATTTTTTTATATATTTTACCGAATTACATTTGTATATTTTCAACAACACGCCCAACTAATGCAGTGAGCCGTAAAAAACTTAAAAATATTTGTTACAATTTACCAGGTAAGGCCCACTGAGCTATGTAGCTCTTTCTCAGAAGCAACCTGGACACAGATGATGGCTCGACGAAGTGGCTTATCATGTTGAAATGTACAGCATCCAAATACTCTAAACGCGTGATGTTGATTCTAAATGTGGAGGGAAAAGCCGGAAGGACCCCGAGAAAAATCCACGCGACCACCGGGAGCAAGACTCAGCAAACCACAAATATACAGCGGGGGTCAGGGTCGGGATCGAACCCACAAACCTCCTGTACACCAGGCGAGGTCATTAACACCGTGGCACCCCAGCAGCTGTGATCTCGGGGTAAAAATCACGAGACAGCACGACAAAGATGGAGTGGAGATAGGAGAAGAGAGAAAGAGGAGAGGGGAGAGGGGGGAAGAAGAATAACAAGAATACGGATGGTGGAAAAATGTCAGATGAGGAACGACTCAACGACGGGACATCAGGTCGTCCCCGCACGCCCCATGAGCGATCCTTGTGGAAGAGGGGGGCACCCCCGCCCCCCCGGGACTGACGGACGTACGCGCACCTTCACGGGAGCTCCGTGCAGCTCGGCCAAAGAGGGCCGCACTTTCTGGGCCCTCTCCCCCGGCACCACCGTATTGCAGTAGAAGTCGATGCGTGGCACCGCGTCCAGCGTGTCGTGCCCCCACGTCTTCTGGTAGTAGGTGTCGCTCACGGTGTCGTAGCCCGTCAGCTCCAGGTCGCCTCGGGCGCGACCCTCCCCGGCGTCGTCAGTGTCGTCTCCTCCTCCTCCTCCCAGCGAGGAGAGGCGGCTCACTCTGAAGCGGCTCGGCTGAGCCGCCTGGCCATCGTTCTCGTACAGGGAGTCTTCCATGGGTCCCGACACCTCGAATCGCCCGCGTCTGACGCCGAGCATGGGCGGCAGTGGAGCCCGAGGATGACACGGCCGGCAGGAGGAGCCACGAGTGGTGCGGCTTGAGATGGATGGATGTGTGTGTTGAACTTCTTTCGCACCGTATGTAGCCAACCGCGCTAATCGGTGCCACCCGCGACGCTGACACGGTCAGCTGCAGGCACACCCGTGGTGGAGGTTCGAACACGCGAGGGCACAGCCAAAGCTCCCATGCGTCCGTAATTGTTTAAACCTCGGGTTTTTATAAACCGCAGGGCGTGCGCTCGATGGACCACCGTTAATTCGTCTCGCTCCCGGAGATCTTTACGATCGGTTTATGCGAGCGTGGGTGATGACCCTGAAGTCTGGTTCATGCCAGCAGCGGACGGAGATGGGACTCTCGTTAGCGAGGCGCGCCTCGGGGCAGCGAACGAGAATCGGCATCAGCTGATGACTGAAAAAAAATTAACCCGTAAAAACAAAGTTTTTCACTATAAATCCTTTATATGCGTGGCGGCTAGAGTCCTCTCGTCCTCTGGCTTGAGATGGCTGCCACCTATGGGTCAGATGATTGCCTGCCACCATTAAGCAATTGGTAATTAAATAAATAAATAAATCCTAAAAAGTGTAAAGTTATGGGAAAAAAAAATCACGAAAATAAATTGTCACGCACAACGAGTCTGTGTGCAAAATGTCAGCTCGATTGGATCACGGGAAGTGGGTTAAAAAACGACCGAAAGATTTGCACGGTCGTAAGCGCGCAAGCAAGTGAACTTAATATAAAGGATTTTTTAAAAAAACGTGCCCAGAGCTCATTCGGGTTGAAGTAGTTTTCTTTGCGTAAAAATAAAATAAATAAAACCCCCCAAAACACAACGCACATTAAGCGTGGACTGGAATTTCCGAGAATGCAATGGAGCAGAGGGAGAGATAATCTCTCGTCAATCTCAGCGCACGGTCATTTTGCTGCGATGGAGGGTCACGCCAGTTTGCTCAAGCCCGAAAGAATGTCATTCATGTTCTTATTCATTTACTACCTACTTGTAGCCTCAGGAGCTGTTTTATGTTTTGTTTAATGCATTTGTTGTGAAGGCTAATGCTTGCTTTCCGGTCTCGTAAGTTCGTGTAAAGAACCAACGATGGCTTGACGTGTATTTGCCAGAGAAGAAATTGTTGCCATTATGATTGATAATAATGTAGGGGGGGTTATGTCAATTCTGTAACTATAACCCTCCGCAAGCTGACATAGCCAATCAAATCAAGCCGTCACGTGGGTAAATATGCCGGTTGATTGTTTTTGTTCAGGAAAGTTGGAACGTTGAAAATCGAGCTAAATGTTTACGCTTGCATCGCCTACGCATTCAATCACAACCGATGCTGCCATCGTTGAGACAGCAATATGCTTAGTGCAATATGTTAATTTGCAGGGTCAATGGACATTAAATGATAACCCACACATTTTGGAAATCGCATCACGAATTGAAGATGAGGATTACTGAAGTGGTGCCAACCACAGATGCCATCGTGGCCGGAGCCTTTGATCTCAGAACACCTAGCGAAATGTTGTCTACCCAGAAACATGACCAACATTAAGGATTTTACTTTAACAAACATTCCACGCATTTCGATTTAAAGCTTTCGTGACTGCAGGGATTCATATTCTTGGTTCTTTCCGTAAAAAAATTCTTCCTGTGGTTTTCACACCTCATGATGATTGCTTGTGCTGCAATCGAAACGTCGTGAGAATTTTATTGTTTTATTTTTATTATATCCCTTCTACGTGACTTTACCGAAAGAACCAAGAATATGAATTCCACGCATTGTTTAACACGTAGTAGTCGGCTTTCGCGACCAATATTCTCATAATAGAGGTTTTTGGGTTTGATCGCGTGAAATATAAATGTGTCGATAACCCCGTCACCACCCGACACAGTCAATTAGCAAGGTTTGAAATGTAAACAAAACATGCCAATTCGTTACTAGTTCAGCACAATGTTGTGTTGGAAAGTACATCCACACACGGGTGTGTTGAACTCTTGGAATTTCACGTATCTTAATGATGCATTGTTTGGTTTTAAATATCCATTCTCATTAACTGCTGTTGGTCCATACATTACAAACGACAGTCATCTGAACATCTGTAATAGTACTGTTCAATCCATTCGGCCGCATCTAATTAATCCGTGTTATTACGTGCTTGAGTATTTGGGCTTATCAATTACCACACAACAACAAAAAAACCCGATCATATTATTTATTGTTTGGTGTTTGCAAGTACAAATATCAGTTTGTCCGTCCGTAAGGCTTCGTAATCTTACTCTCTGTGGCAAGCGTGGGTGGGACATTGCTGCCTCGTACTGTGTGGGTGTCTCTCTCAGTGGTAGCTCTGTGACGTTCGCTTCTGCGGGCCGTTCTCGAACACAACGGGGTCGCGCTGCTTATACGAGTGACGACTTTGACATGACGCCGATGGCGCAGTGCGGACACAAATGTGGCAAATTCGCCAAAAAAACAAACGTTATTCAGCTGCTGTTGCTTATGCAGATAACGATGATGCTGATGAAAGGCATGCCCTTTGAAGTATTCATTTTCATGCGTATGAAAGTTTTATTTGGGCCGCTAACCTAGGTCCTACGTTAAGAGATTATTCATGTAATATAACTTAGAGGATATTGATTTGCATGGCTTTCATCCCCAGTGAATGAGCCATGATGAGCATCTATTCTGTTTGTCCGTGTCAAGTCTACCACGTGCGCCCTTAATTGAATCGTGTTTGTCAACAAGAGCCAACATCGGCATAACAGTTGTTCGGACATCAATGCAACGTGCGTTTTGTGTGCGTCCGTACAATTCAAGAGCGAAAATCAAATGAACGAATCAACGCAGCGCATTAATCGTTGGGCTAATGAAGCTGGATGTTTCATAGTCAGCTTTGCTCAATTCACTGCTAGATGAAAGCGTCCCCAAGCCGAGAGCACCTCTCACGATCGTGCGCGCTGCAACGGCGCACGCAACCTCCTGCACGCGACACGATGTCATCTCTGCAGTCGTGGGTGGGTGTCCTCTCTCTCGGGGGCGCGGTTCCATCCCGTGGCTGACACTCCGTCGTCATGTATTTACTCGTGCAATTGCCCGTCATATTACGGGTTGATAAAAGCAAATGATTGAATGTAAAAGGTAAAAAAATTAAGATTGTATTGAATTTATTAATAAAATAATTTCATCTATATATCACATTTGGTGTAAATCGCTTTTATTAAAAACAAAAAAAATTTAAAATTGCATGAAAATCCACGTAGCCTGCCCAGTGTTACACACACAGCGCACAGAGTCATCTTCTTGGTTCTTTCGGTAAAGTCACGTAAAATGGAAATAATAACATAATAATAAAAATAAAAATATTTATGTTTTCTTTTTATTATGTTATTATTTCCATTCTACGTGACTTTACCGAAAGAACCAAGAAGATGAATCCCTGCAGTCACGAAAGCTTTAAATCGAAATTTAAAGCGCACAGAGTGTCAAGCGTTAGGCAGAGATCGCCACAACTCGATGTACAATGACCATCTGCAACCATCCCTTGTAGCGACGTGTCCTGCCCACGTGCATTTTAATTAACAGCATGAGTTGTATTTAACGAGGACTCCGCGTGTGTCCTCCAAATCCACGCGCTCCTCTCTTTCCACTTTCTGCCTAGGGACGGCATTGCTTGCTCATTGCATTTCGAGTCTCTGCGAACAATCCTTTGCGTCTGTCAATGCACTCAACTGCTCAATGAAAACCTCCCCACGTCACGTCGGCCGTGGCGTTTTGGTTGACCATACTTCACCAGAACTGGTCAGTGCAGGTTGGTGAATAGGGGAAGGGGGTTGTCAGGTTCATTGCGCAGTGCGCTGACCGCTGTGCCACCGCTCCCCTCAATGAAATAACGTACAAGTATACCTCGCGTGTGTGTCTGTGTGTGTCTGTGTGTCTATGTGTGTGTCTGTGTGTGTGTCTGTGTGTGTGGGGAGCGGTAGTGTAGCGGTTAGCACGCTGCGCTACGAACCTGGCAACCCGGGTTCGATTCCCGCTCACGGCCAACACCAGTGACGATTATCTGAACCGGTCCTGGGCCTCCCCTAGGTCAACTCAGCCTCAAATGAGTACCTGGTGCGGTGTGTAAACATCGCCACTGGGGAGACAAAGGCGGTCGGGCGTGGTGCTGGTCACCCACCCCCTCGTGTACCGTTGCGGCCTTCATAGGTGCTCGCTAACAGCACTTGCCCCTACAGTCTGTTAAGGCTACACGGGGGATCTTTGTGTTGTCTGAGAACACTTGTCATGATTTCGGTTTCCGAGAATCTGGACGGAGGGCGGAATGTACAACGACGCCACCGATTAACTCTCGTTGATCTAGGTGACATGAACCTTAAATAACAATGCCCAATTAGGTATTTAATTCGGCGTTTCATAATACAGAGTTTGAAATTAGCGGGTGTAACAATTAGAGCTGTCAAAACCCCAGGGTACATCAGGGGAAAGAATAATATCTCAAAATACTGGAAGGAGGGGAGCACTCACTGTCTTAAGCGGGTTGATTTTTAAGAAACTAACCAAAAAAAAATGTCTTAATGTCTTGAGTAAGAATTACAGATGCTCCAGGACAGCTGCTGCCTTAACAATCTGTTGATGGTGCGAACGGCAATTAGTGCAACCAGTTTTGGTGTTCAGTTTCTCTCAAGTTTAATAACATGTTAGTACAGCGTGGTCCAGATGTCTCGTGACCCCCAATTAGTTGACCCATTAACACTTTTTTTCCTGTGCATATTAATTTCTGTTTTAAATACACCTTAGTTTAAAAAAAACAGATATAACATTTTTGTTTGATAATTATTTAATGGAGGTCACAAGACATCTGGACCACCCCGGAGAAAAAAATTTGCTTCCCCGCGGCATAAGTAAGCACACACATCAATGGGCCGATCACACGTTCATATGTCGAGGACCGCAGAGCTTGGTGCTGGGGAATTTGTCGCCGACTCACCACGTGGCTTCTGCTGCCGCCTTCACGCCCGTCTGTGGTTCCTCCTCGCGCCTTCGGGATCGTAGTCTCTGTCTCAAGAGTGAGCGAATAGTTGGAATTAGTATTACGTGAAATGGCTAAAGAAGTCGAACTGGGATTTACACGAATATTGATTTAACTTTTATTTTTATTATTTTA